GCCTTCCTGCGAAAAATGCCGGTGCGATGTTGGAAACTCCACACAGGTGGGAGCTTGTGCCTGTTTTGGGTGACGCTGTTGGTCTCCAACGATGGGGGAAGGCGCATCACTTGGGGCGCTGGGAGCCTTTCCAAGGCTGTTGTTGACGGTCAGCTGCGGGTGAGGTCATGGAATGGGTACTGTGGTATTAGCGGCAGGGACGCGGTGGCGAATGGCACCGCGATTGTGTTTCCCCTCGTGACTGTGCAGGGGGACAACACAAAAGTCTGCACCGTCTTCCATTCGAAGGGCTGTGGCGGGAATTGGGGGTTCCCTGCAGAGGTTTTTGCTGACGGGATTGCGCTGATCCCTATCTCTTTGAGTGGGAAGGAAAACTTCTCGCGGCCGCCACGCATGGAGGCCATGACGGGAAAGTGCATGATTCCGGTGGAATGGGGAAGGAATGGATAGAATTTGGCGGAGCACATTTGAATGTCTTGAGTGAGGACTTGAGGAGTGCTACGACTGGTAGCCGACTCGACGTCGTGACGGCATCCATCGAGGGGAGGAGTGTAGTGCTGTTTGCTTTGCCCAGGCAGAATAATATTCGGAGAGCCACGAGCGTGTTGCTTCTTTCCATGACTTATATGACTCGATTTTACCCCATTGGACCGTTATGTGCTGATGGTGTTTCTAAAAACGCAGATACCCTGCAGTAAAAGGGTGGTGAACTGTTTGCCCTTAACGAGTGTAATGCAGGACAAGGGCGTGTTGTGCTCGCACACCTCACTGAGCAGCTGGAGGAAATAAGGACTGTGCTGAGGACTTGGGATGCAGTCGACAAGAACGTCACAACGCATTGCACTTCCACCAGAAAAAAGTGAACCGCATCCGACGGTGCCTGCAGCACTCCTACGCCCACGGATGGGGTGGTCGGATATTTGTCCAACGAGGGTGAGAGGGATTGCTGGGAGAAGAAATATGTCGCGGCGATTGCCACGGTGGTTGGGACGGCAACGGAGGTTGAGGGCGGTGCGACGTTTGAGGGGCCTGGAGCGTGGACAGAGTGGCCTTTGGGTAATCGGTGGCGGAATCAACGATTCCACATTGTGAAAAGGGAGTTCACTCTTGTGGTGACGGCGACGATTGGGGCGGCTCCTGCGGGCAGCGGCAGCGCCCTTATGGTCGCTGTGGGTGGCGCTGGGAGCGTGAGGATGGTGGGACTGTCAGTCACGGCGGACAATAAGCGGGAAGTGGCGTTTGACGGTGAGGCGGGAGAAGTGCAGCACGGGAAGTCTGGGCTGGAGAGAAATTACCGGGTGGCAGTCGTGCTCCAGAACGGCATGGGCACCGTGTGCGTGGATGGCAAAACTTTGGGGAGCTCAGCAACGACAGTTACACGTGGGCCGCAGTTGCTCGACGTCTCATGCTTCTACGTTGGAGGTGACGGTCGCAGTGGCTCATACTGCAGTTAGGTGACGCTGACGCATGTCTGTCTGTGCAACCGCCCACTGACCAGGCAGGAACTACAGATGCCCCTTTCGCGTGGCAAGCAGACTGAAGCGGATTGCAGGGAGGTAAAAGCGACACCGCGCCCCGGTAATTTTTTGGCCAAAGTCCCACAGGATCTGGGCGTTGACGCGGCTGCGAGGGAAGTGTTGCCAGTGCCCGCCAAGGGGAATTTGGCGCGGGAAACAGCACCACTGATGTCAATGGCTCTACTGTTTTATTGTTTTCAAAAGGAATTGGTGACGGCGCCGTCCATGGGTGTGTGCCTTGGGCATTTTCTGGCTTTACTTCAAGGAGTGCGTGGGGACGTGGCATGTTTATGAGCCGTAGAGTGCGGTTGTGCGATTTCTAATGGACAGTACGTGCCGCTTTTTCCCAAGTACTTTTTTTTCGTTTTTTTAAAATGATTCGTCGTTATTGTCTGCTGCTGCTGGTGCACGGATGGGATAGTCAGCACCCTTCTTTTCCTTTATTCAATGGTCGGTTGCTGCACACTGTCACGAGTGACGTGTTTCTCCTTCTTGTTTTTTTTTTTGTTGCCCACACGCTATGTCGGCCTCATTGCTGTGCGTCCCACGGACTGCACGAAAGGAGGAGCGGAGGAACATGCCGGATGCCGCAATGAAATGTGAGGAGTGTTTTGTGGGCTGGTGGAGCAGTAGGATTTTTTTTAATTTTATTTCTCTTTTTGGTGCGGGCATTATTTATACACAGACACACACGGTTGTCTTGTGCTGCTTGGCATATGAAATAGAATTTCTGCCCGATTGATTTTTTATATTCCTCCCCTGGAGTTCTGTTGGACTCCTATCATTTTTTTTTCTTTTTTTTTCCGCCTTTTTAAGTTTTGGTTTGTGTGGCGGTGTGTGAGTTCTGCAGTTGTAATGATTCCATCTGTCTTTTTTGGTGTGCGCTTCTTCTGGCTGCTGTCGCTTATTACCATACGGTGGCTGTGCGTGGTGTAGCTGCTGTCTCTCTCTATTTCCTTCTCATGCTCCTGCAGATCGAATCCACGTTTTTTAACAGCGATATTTTTGATGATGATGCACCGTGTGTTCCGTGTCGTGTTGGTGCTGGCACTGCTGTGCTGCTGCTCGTGCGTGTTTGCCGTGGAGGGAGGGAAGGAGCAAGAGCCGGAGGTGACGCAGGTGAATGCAGAGTGTGCGGGTGACGGTAATGTTGCGCGCTGGCAGCTCCCTGGGAGGTCATTGTGGTACAACTGCACGGTTGAAGATAATGGTGTGGGGAAGGATATTTGCGGCATGGGCGACGGAAACTGTACGTCCGAGGATGTTGAGAGACGTATAAAAGATGGTGCGGAGCATGGTGTCTTCACGATCAACGTCTCCACGTTTACTCCAAGCGCCGTGAAGAGTTGGTGGGAGAGTAACGTAGAGAAGGCGGTCACCGTCGCAATTGTTTCGGCTAAACCTCCGGAAGCAGGACCTCCGGGCTCTCGAGAAGACGGATTCTCGTGACGCCTCTTCCACACCGGATTCTGATTCTCCTCCTGCTGGCGCTGCGGGTGCAGCTGGTGCCCCTTCACTGGCTGAAGCTCCGGGTGACTCTGGTGAAAGTGGTCCGGCCACACGTCCGGAAGCACGCACTCCGGCGGCTCGACAAGAGGAGGCTTCTCGTGAAACATCTTCCAGACCGGATTCTGAATCTTCTCCTGCTGTCGTTGAGAATTCCGCGGATGTCCCTCCTCCTCCTCCTCCACCTGCAACTCCAGGCGGCGCTGTTGCTAACTCTGCTGCTGGCGCTGCGGGTGCGTCTGGTGCCCCTTCTTCTTCTCTACCTGCAAGTCCAGGCGGCGCTGGTGCTAACTCTGTTGCTGGCGCTGCGGCCACGACGAATCCTTCTGCTGCGGCCTCGCAAGCGTCGGATTCCGCCCCCTCTGGCGAGCTTCAAAGCCCTTCACATTCTGCCTCTGCTTCTTCTCCTGCACCCGAATCCCCACCAGATCCGGAGCCCACAGAAGGCGGCGACCACTCCTCCCATGAACCTCCAGTGGAGCTGCAGGAAGAGACTGCTGCGCCACCGACTCAGTTGTCCCAGACCGGCGAGGACGGGGGTGCAGCGGAAGGCACCGAAGAGGACACCGCCGCCAACGCCACCGACACTGCTTCCGGCGAAGGAAATGCTACGGCGGCAGGCATGTCGGCTCCCCTTTCCTCTGCGCCCAAAACGAACGCGCTGGAGAACAGTGTGGGAACTGACGCCTGCTTCCATGGCACCCGTCTGAATGCCCTTCCACTGCTTGTTCTGGCCGTCCTTGCGTACGGGACACTGGGCTGAAGAAGTGAATGCGGACTATAATTGCTAGCACTCAACCACGGGGATTTTTGCGCTTCTTTTGTTTTATTGCGTAATAATAGAAAATAATGATGATTGTGTTTTGTTCCATTTGCTTCTGCTGCGCTGCTGTGTGCTCCATGTTCTTGCCTCCCGTGTCCGTCACTTGGCGCGCGTCCCAGACACATTCGTATGCACGACACGCCCACAACTGTTTGCGTGGACGCACTTTTGTGTGAGTGTGCATGCACGCTGGAGCCATTTGTTGCAGCTCCTTGTGTTTTGTTCTTTGTGTTTTTACTTTTTTTTACTTTCTGTTTCTCTGTTGTTTTGTTGCTACTTGTTTTTTATGTGTTTATTTTCCTTGTTTTTTACTTCCTTCGGGCGTTGTGAGTTTTTTCATTTTTTAATGGTTTATTTTCTTTAATTTTTTCTTTTTTTTTTGTTTCCTAATCTTCCATACCTTCTCTTTTGCGTTTGGGGCAATCACTGTGGCAGTGATTTTTTCTTTTCTACTCTTCCCCCTTTTAATTGTTTGTTGCTGCACTATTCCTGTGAGGGGTGCCGTGTGTTCCGCCCAACTGCTCCGCTCGCACACCCACCGACACGCTCATGACGACGGCCCTGTGCGCCTCGCCTGCTGCACGCATGAGGAGGGGCCGCGACGAGCGGCGCGCTGAGGGAGCCGTGACGTGTGGGCGTGCGACGAGGGCCTGTGGGGCGGAGCACACATTTCTTCCCTCTTGTTTTGCCTTCTTGCGGCCAGGGCGGGCAGACACCCGCAGCGCCACACACACAGCCACACCCTGCCGCCGTGTTTTTTTGTTTTTTTCTTTTGTTTTTGTGGATGGTGTGTGCTGCCACCGTGCGTGTTTGTTGGGGTTGGGGTCGTACTGCATGTATTGCTGCCATCCAGCTGTGCCTCTTGCCGTGTTGATGTGCCTCACTGTGCTTCTCCTTTTTTATTTCTGCTATTCCAGCAAACACACAGACATAAGATATTTGTGCACTGCTTTGGATGACTGCTTTGGCGACGGCGTTGGCTTGCTTCCCGTGCTGAAATGGCAACGCGGCTGCACGATGCCCGCCATGCGTGAAGGCGTTGCCTGCTCTTGGGTTTATTTTTCTCTGCCCTCTGTTTTTGCTTTGCAGGGTGCGTGCGTTTCTCGGTGTGTGCTGACGCGTGACGGACGGTGTCACGGTGGCCTCCTCCGACGATGACAGTCGCTGTGCTCTCGGCACACATCCACACACACTTCCTTGTCTCTCTGTGGGAGCTCGACGCGGTGAAGGTCGATTACAGCCACACGGACACCCGCATGGTTGCTGCGCCTTACTTCTTCCAGCACTGCGATGCCGCCGGCCACACGACGTTGTGGTGCCACAAGTACAAGGACAACAAGGTGCAGTGCGTGACGGCCAACCTGATCCGCATGTGGTTGCAGCGCATGGAGCACGTGCGCAAGTACGCGTTGGGCGTTGCGCTCATGATTGGGGAGGAGAGGCAGCACGACGTTGTGGCGCAGCGGGGGCGCATGATGGACTGCCTGTGCTGGAGGGTCTGAGGAAAGAGACTAACAGTAATTGTGACGGTGGGAATGTGAGGAACGGTGCAGTGGCGAGGAGCGCTCCTTTTCGTTTTATTTGATTGTTGTTGAACTGCGTCCACTTAATTGTTGTTGTGCACGACTCTTATTGCTGGATGGGACGGTGCGTGGCTGTGTGACTTTTCTCTCCTTTTGCTTTTTGCGTTGACGGGGAGTTAGTTTGTGCTGAAGGCTGCACGCAATTGACAGGAGTGATGGCGATGATGATGGCTGGCCGTGTGCTGCTGGTGTGTGCCCTCTGCGTGCTGTGGTGCGGTGCCGGCGGTAGGTGTGAAGAGAATGGTGCTGACGTTGTTTCTGGTGGAGGTCCTGGTACCGGCAATGACGACAAGAATTCGGAAGCATTACGTTCCCCAGATCTGAGTTCACTGGAGAGGCAAGAAGAAGGAGCAGGAGGAGCAGCAGGAGGATTTGCGGATGCACAGGGAGGAAAGGATATTTCGACGTCAAGCCCGGGTACAAATATCCTAAAAGTAGAGAAGGTGGATTTAGTTGTCGATCCACCCAATCCAATTGAGAATCAAAATAAAAGTAAAGACTCGACGAAAGCCGGGACTGGCACGACAAATCAGACAGCACCACCATCGAAACCACAATCACCACCACCAGCAGGGCCTCCTCCTCCTCCTCTTCCAGAAGCAGAAGGAGTTAAACTAACAAAAACACCAGAAAAGCAGGACAGTTCAGTCGGCCACCAGTCTACACAACATCATACAGTGCCACAAGTAAAAGAACTGAAACAACAAGAACAGAACACCCAAAACCAAATAATAAATGAAAAACACGAATCCCAACGACTTCAAGTCCAAGAAGAAAAAGAAAAACAACGATCAGAAGAACAACTGGAGCAACGAGAGCGTCCACACGAAGAGGAACGGGACGGAGAAGATCTACAAGAAGAAATACGAGATCAGCAAAAAAAACAGGAACAGCAGGAAGAAGAACACGAAGAAGCACAAGAAGAGCACGTAGACAGCACAAAACAAGAAAAGGAACAAGATCAACAACAACAACATCAACAGCATGAAACTTTTGCGAAAAAAAGCGATGGACCCATAAAAAACGAAACTGCCGTTGGTTCAAATTCCACCGCAAATACAGACGACAGTGACGGCAGCACCGCGGTCGCCCACACCACCTCCCCTCTTCTGCTTCTTCTTGTTGTTGCGTGTGCGGCTGCTGCTGCGGTGGTGGCCGCGTGAGAGTGAGGGAGAGAGAACCGTGCACCGCCCGCACACACACTCGTCCTCTCACTCTCTGTGTGTGTCCCCTTGCATGGACTCTCGCCCTCACCTCACCCCACGAGGCACACACATAATGTGCCCATTGTATATATGCATGCACACCCATGCAGGCCCGTTGGTGCTCTCTTTTGCACGACACGCACCGCTGCCGTCCTGCCTGGCTGCATGGGCGGAGCACCGTAACTGTTTCTGTTTTGTTTCCATTGCATTGAGTGGTCGACCTCTCTCTCTCCCTCTGTGTGTGTGTTTTGCTTTACGGGAGTAATGAGAGTGTGTGCGCTGCTCGTCCCACGCTTCGGCTTTTTGTTTTGTTTTACTTTTTGATTTTGTGGTTGAGTGCACCCATTCCGCGGCTGCGTGTTTGTGTGTGATGATATGAGTAATTTGCGTGTGTGCTATCTGCATCTCTCTGCCGTTGCTTTATTCGAACTCTCTTGTGTTGCACAGCTGCCCTGCAAGTATATCCACTGACAATCACACATGCACACACACGCCATTATGCATACGCTGTAGAGTGGCGTGATTGCTGAGGATGCACGCAGAAGATTCTGGCTGCGACGTCCCTTGCGAGGGGGAGGACGGGAGGTTGCGATTTATTTTTTGACACGTTGCTGGTGTGCAGTCTATTGGGTGGTGTGGCTTAAGGTGCCTCGGACAAGTGCGGATTGCTTCTCGTCCAGCTGCTGCACGTGCCAATGTGTATCTCCTATGCTTTGTATACTTTGGTCAGGGATTCTTCGCCTGTGTGCGGTGATGTGCGTTGGAGGGTGCGCTGGAAGGGTGAGCAGTTAAACGACTGGCGACAGCGTGTGGGCTTTGCGAAGGACGGCTGTGTTCCCTTTTGCATTCCGTTGGTTGTTTTGTGTGGGCGTTGCTTAGTGTGATGACGCGTGAATATCGACGCACCCGCCGTGACTCCTGCTGCTGCTGGTGGTGGCAGTCGCTGTGTGTTCCCGGTGCACTGCTCTTCCTTCTCTTTCCGTGTGTCTGTGTGCGTGAGTTGTTGTTGTGGGGAGTGACTGCGGCGGGGATGATGGTGCCACTCACCGTGGATGGCGGTGCGTATTGTTGTACCTTTTTTGTTGGCATTGTTTCTCTTTATTTCTTTCACTCTATTACTCATGAAGAAAGCAAACAAGCGCTAATCGCTACTGTGAAATTCGAAGGCACCAAAAGGACCAACAGCACACACACCGCCCACACACATATTTATATGCTCTCACGTGTTGCTGCAGTGAAGGCACCCCGCACACACAACCGTCGCTGCGTGACCGGATCCATCGGGAGGAAGAGGGAAGGAAGAGAGAGTGGGCCGCAGAGCCCCAACATGTTCCGGCGTTTGTTTACTTCCGCGGTGCTGCTCCTCCTCGTCGTGATGATGTGCTGCGGCAGTGGAGCTGCACACGCGGAGGAGGATCAATTATCTGATCCAAATTTTGAATGGAAGGGCATCACTAATGACAAGGAAACTGTGGAATCGTTGGGTGTTCCCGGCCTATTGAAAGTGGGGAGTGATGTGTTTGCCGTTGCCGAGGCGCAGTGCAAGGATGAGCAAGGCAATGCCTTTACTGGGGTTGCGTCCCAACTTCTCACGAACACAGCGGATAAAGAAAAGGAGGAGGTGCTGAAGGAAGCCAAAAAGGATACTCAAGTTCTGGAGAAAGGTGGTTCGGAAGGGAAGAAGAGAGTAGATGTGAGCCGACCAACAACAGTTGTGAAAGGAAGTGATATTTACATGCTGGTTGGAAAACACGGCGGTGAAGGTGAGGCTGCTTGTCAGGGTGCATCTGACGCGGCTCCTTGGGGACTCTTGCTTCTGAAAGGAAACGTCAGTGATGGGGAAAGTGTAAAAAGAATTCTTTGGAAAAATACCTACGGTCTTCCGTGCATTTTTACTGTCGAACATCACGAATCCTTGACACGGCTGATTGGCGGCGGTGGATCGGGTTTTACGTTAGAGGACGATACGCTTTTGTTCCCCGTGGAAGCTGCGAAGAAGAATGAAAAGACCGTTTCGCTGGTCCTATGCTTGCAGGGTACTGAGAGCTGGACACTGTCGAAGGAGGTGCCTGACGATGGCTGCAGTGATCCCTCCGTCGTGGAGTGGAAGGGAAAACTCATGATGATGACTGCGTGTGATGATGGCCGCCGCAGGGTGTACGAGTCCGGTGACAAGGGGGATTCGTGGACGGAGGCACTCGGGACACTCTCGCGCGTGTGGGGCAACAAACACAAGGGAACTGAGAAGGGCGTTAGGAGCGGGTTCATCACAGCGACTCTTGACGGTGTTGAAAATGATAAGAGGAATGTGATGCTCGTTACTCTGCCGGTGTATTCCGAGAATGGAGAAAAAGAAAAAGGTGTACTCCATCTTTGGGTGACGGACAATACGCACATTTTTGATATCGGGCCGGTATCCGAGGAAGATGACGTTGCCGCCAGCTCCCTGCTGTATAAAAGTGGAGATAATAATGAGAAGGAGTTGATTGCACTGTACGAGAAGAAGAAGGGCGGTGTGGAATCATCACTCGGTATGGTCTCTGTGCGTCTGACTGCGCAGCTGCAGCGGGTGAAGGAGGTGCTGGCGACCTGGAAGAAAGTGGACGAACGCGTCTCCAAGCTGTGCCCCACTGAAAGTGCTCTGAAGGATACCTCAACTGTCAATGCCTGCAGCACTGCCATTCCAACGGATGGGCTGGTTGGCTTTTTGTCCGGCAAATTCTCTGATAACACATGGAAGGACGAGTACCTCGGGATGAACGCCACGGTTACTGGCGCTGCAACAGAGGCAAAATTGCATGCCAGCGGCGTGACGTTCACAGGACGTGGTGCGTGGGCGGAGTGGCCCGTTGGCAAGCAAGGGGAGAATCAGCTGTACCACTTTGCGAACTACAACTTCACTCTTGTGGCGACGGTGTCCATCGACGGTGTGCCGAAGGAGGGTTCTCCTATTCCATTGATGGGTGCGAAGATGGATGACAGTGAGAAAACAGTACTCCTGGGAATGTCGTACAAAAAAGAAGGGAATTGGGCAGTGCTTTGCAGTGGCCAAACATCAGAGAAGCTCGGCAGCACTTGGGAGACAAGGACAACTTACCAAGTGGCCATTGTGCTACGGAACAGCAGCCAGGGCTCCGCGTACGTCGATGGTAAAAGTGTCGGAGATGAGTCATGTGTATTGAAAATTGCGGATTCGAAGGAGATCTCACACTTCTACATTGGAGGGGACGGAAGCGGCGCAGGGAGCCAAGACGACGTGTCTGTGACTGTGAGGAACGTCCTGCTGTACAACCGCCCGTTGAGTTCCGCAGAGATTGGGTCCATCAAACCGAATAAAGCCCCCACTCCACCTTTGGAAAAGGTGCCGACTAAACCGTTAACAGTTTCTTCTGCTTCCGTTGTATCTCCCATCCCTTCGGTGGCCGCAACTGCTCAGATAGCCGGAACTTCGTCCACTCCCGCCGGAACACATCTGACGGAAGAGGGGCAGCCGATGGGGAGCAGTGGTGGTGGCGGTGGCGGTGCATCCGCATCAGCGGTGTCCATTGTCAGCACTCCATCAGCAGGAAAGGACTCCGTAATGCAGGTGGCGTCAGGAAAATCTTCCGATGGAGCTCAAACCGTGGATGGCGGTTCAACTGCTGATGGCGAGCCAACGATGGAGAAAAGAGAAGGAACGGATGCGCAGGAGGAAGAGGTACAGCCACTGAACAGGGAAGTAAATGCTACGGAGCTCAACAGCAGACTCGGAAAATTGTCGCAGGGGAATAACAGCGATGCCGGCACTGTGCGTGGGAGCGGACTTCTGCCATTGCTGTTGCTTCTGTTGGGACTGTGGGGGTTTGCGGCTCTGTGAGGAGTGACTGGCTGCCGCGTGGGAAAATTGCGCCCTCCCGAGCACAGAATTACTTCCTCTGGCGAGGATATTTTTGATACTTTTACTTTTTTTGTGTGCGTTTTAAATTTATTTTAATGTTTGCTACTTTCCTGTTTTAAAATTCTTTTTTTTCTCTTTTATGTGTTTGTGATTTTCATTTTGTTGTTGTTGTTGCTTTTCAGTACGCTTTTTAATTTTTTATCTGCTTTCAAATTTTTTTTTATTTCTTACTACTCCATTCCTTTTTTTTTTTTTGCTTTTGGGGCAATCACTGTGGCAGTGGTTTTTTCTTTTCTACTCTTCCCTCTTTTAATTGTTTCTTCTGCACTCTTCCTGCGAGGGGTGCCGTGTGTTTCCCGCCCAACTGCTCCACTCGCACACCCACCGACACGCTCATGACGACGGCCCTGTGCGCCTCGCCTGCTGCACGCATGAGGAGGGCCGCGACGAACGGCGCGCTGAGGGAGCCGTGACGTGTGGGCGTGCGACGAGGGCCTGTGGGGCGGAGCACACATTTCTTTCCTCTTGTTTTGTTTTGTTTTGCGGCCAGGGCGGGCAGACACCCGCAGCGCCACACACACAGCCACACCCTGCCGCCGTGTTTTTAAGATTTCTTTTCTTTTGCTGCGCTCACTCTCCCGATGGAGTGACGCGACTCCCGTCATGTCTGCGTGCTTCTCTCAGTCCCCACACACACGAGTGACTGTGTTCTGCGGGCCGCACTCGCACGCCGATGGGAGGGCTGAGGGGAGCAGCAACACGCAGATGACCCCATGAAATATAAACGATGTGCGGACACACAGAGGGTCGGACGGTTGAAGGACATTTAAATATCTTTTAATTTTATTTTCGGGCAAAATATATGCAGACAGTTTGGTGTGGCCACACGGCAGCCTTTTTAATTTGTGTGGAACAGTAATGGACGATTTCTTTTTATTTATAATTATTTTGTGTGATGGGGTTTGTGTAAGATGAGGGGGGAACGTTTTTTTTTTTCAATAAATCTTGTGTGAATTGCCGCTGCCTGGGCTGCAGTGCAATCGTGAATTTGAGCGGTCTTCTTCTTGTTGTTGCTTCCGTTATGCACCTCCGCTGTACATTTTGTGTGTCCCTCCACGTACTCTGCTCACTCTTTTCTACTTTTATGCTTTGTGTTTCTGCAGGCACACACACAAGATGCACATTGCAGTGGATTTGATTGCTTCTTTTGCAGTGCATGCTGGCGGTTGCGTGTGGCGGCTGTTGTCTTCTTCCGTGGCCATGAGGAGAAGGGAGGAGGGAGTGCGCAGCCCGCGTCTCCTTTCCTGCGGGTGTGGAGCACCGCGTGTGGCTGAGTTGATTTGGGCTCCGTGTCCCATTGAGGGCAGGATGGCAGGAAATTTTTTACTGCGTCATGGATGGCTGAGGGTCCACTGTCGCGTGTGGCTGGTGTGGTGGCCGCGGTGTTTTTGCCGTTTCCCGTTGGCTGTGGGAATGAGCTGGGAGATGGTGGTGGATGTGTTCTCCTCCTGCATGGTGGGTGGCTGCTGGCGTTGTGTGCCTTCCTTGCGTGGATGCCGTCTCGTGGTGTGTGGACTGTGCGGCTGGGCCTGCTGCCCTCTCCTCATGTTGTCTGCTCTCTCTCTCTCTGCATCGGCTGTGCACTTTGTCCTTCTCCCTCTCGTTCCATTCTTGCTTTTCCTTTCCGTCTCACGGATCAGCTGACTGGCTCCAGCGACTCCACGACGCGTGACGATGGTGCGGTGTGCGCCGTGTTGGTCCTTGTGCTGCTGCTCGCTCCGTGTGCGTGACGGCGACAGGAGACGGTAATAATGATAACAGCAGTCCTCCCAGCCCTAAGGCAAGGAAACCATATCCTACAAGAAACATGCCTGGTGCATTACAGCCAGATGGTGAGGAAACCGGTGGGCCACAGAGAGGGAGTGGGAGAAACAGAGAGGAAGGTTTGAGAAGTCAAGGACCTTCTTTGCCAAAGGAAGCAGGCACGGCCATCACTGGACAGACACGAGTTCCGCCAGAGACAATGAATTCGGCTAACGATAATCCAGAGCCACCAGGTTTGGCAACTCAGTCTCCACACACACAAGGCGCGACCGGTACGTCAGATGCACAAAATAAAACGCGCAGTAAATACACAAGGTGATGAGAATCATAAGGCACGGATATCAAACGAGAGGATGAAAATGCCAAATACAACCACCAATAAGACCACAACAACGCTATGGGTCAGTCGGCCACCTCAACGTGGTGCCAGGGTCTAGTACTCTTTGCTAGAGAGGAAGCTAAGCGCCTGCCGCCCATCCGCTGCACGCGGAGAGGCAAGAGGCGCCGCACAAACGGGTCGGAAGGGCACCAGATGGAGCCATTTACATGGCTGCCCGCGGAGCGGTATTTCCATCCGCTGCTGAATTCCATCGGCGCTTATCAGCGCTATACATACCGTTTGCGTGCCGTATGTGACGCGCAACGACAAAAGCTACTGCTAAGCGGAGACATTGAGCAGAACCCAGGCCCCATAGCAGTACTCCAGATGAATTTTTCTTGCCTCACGCCGTCAAAACTCGCAACATTAATGGCGCAATGAGCAGACATAGTAGCCATTCAGGAGACTTGGAAGTCGTCAGAGCAGATCGCCAGCATGCACACTGGAGATTATGTGCTCTATGCACAGTCGCGCATCGGCAAGGGCGGCGGTGTGGCGGTGCTGGTGCGGAAAACTCTCCGCTCCAAGCGTATACCCCTCACCATCCCCCAGCATGACACCAGCCTTGAAGTGGTGGTGGTCCAGGTTGCTCTGGACCAGAACCGTGATCTTATTGTAGCGAGTGCCTATATGAGACCACCACCGCAAGTAACGCAATCCTTCAGGCGGTTAGTAAACTGCCTTCCAGCCTCGTCGCCGCTCCTGCTGTGCGGGGATTTCAACATGCATCACCCACAGTGGGAGCCATTCTTGGAGACTTCTCCAAGCGAGGTTGCTGCAGAATTTTTAGAACTGTGCACGGATGCGGGACTCACCTTGGTTAACACCCCTGGTGAGATCACGTATGCCCGTGGCACAAGAGAACGATCCCGTATCGATCTGACATGGTCAAAGCATTTGACTGTGTCGGATTGGTCAGCTTCCGTGTCGCCGCTTAGTGATCATTATATGCAAACATTTACGCTGCATCAGGCATTTAAGGACACCATACCTTCGGCACCTATGTTTTTCTACAGTTGGGGGAAGTGCAAGTGGGATTTATTCATCAAGGACTTCGACGCACAACTTCCGGCATACGACTATAAAAAGCAGTCCACCGGCATTAAGGCTTTCACGAGAGCGCTTATAACTTCGTATCGACGACATTGCCCCCGCGGCATGCACAAGGACGGCCCCAGGCTTTGGGACGACACTCTCATGGAGGCAGAGCGGATGGCTACGGACAGCAAGGCCTGCTATCTACAGTTACCGACGCCCGACCGTGAGGCAGAAATGCAACGGACAAGGAGTCAATTCTTCCTTCTACTCCGAGAGCGCTTGCGCAACACGTATCTACGTCGCATCAGCAAGTTAAATCCAGGCGAGCCACTCGCATGGAAATACATTTCCGGACGAAAAAAGGCATCACTTCCATCTCTCACATCAATTTTATTAGGAGATGGTCAACACACTTATAAAACAGCAAAGAGAGCAGCGAATGCTCTCAATCGCATCTTTCTTCCATTTCACCCCTCTCACAAGGCAGTTAGGTTTTCCAAAGGCATCAACAGACAGAGTGCATCCTTGAACATTAATGCTTCTTTTCTTTTTGGGCAGCAGAACAACAACGAGTCTGCCGCCACATCTGGTTTAGTTGCTCATCTTCACTCCCCTCTTGATGCACCTTTTAATCGTACGGAACTGCTTACTGCGCTACGTAATACGCCGTATGGCAAGGCCCCCGGACCGGATGAAGTCTACAGTGAGGCACTGCGACATATTTCGTCAAAGGGCCTCCGATTCCTTCTTCGCTGCATTAACTGCAGCTGGACGACCGGTACGGTTCCGGCTGAGTGGAGACGCGCTACCATCGTTCCACTCTTGAAACCCGGTAAGTCGCCGGAACTGCTTGAGTCCTATCGACCCATCAGCCTTACCTCCATTGTGAGTAAGGTTGCTGAGAAAATGGTACTGAAGAGATTGCTTTGGGTGTGGACGCCGCACCCCCACCAGTATGCATATCGTAGTATGCGTACCACGACGATGCAGCTGGCACACCTGACACACGAAGTGGAGCATAATAGAAATCATTATTTCCAAGTGAGCCTTCCCAAGAAGAGCGGTGTTGGCAATCAACTCCACTACAGACCCCATCGGACCCTGCTGGTGTTGGTTGACTTCAGCAAGGCTTTTGACTCCATAGATCATCGAGTCCTCAGTCGCTTGCTGGCTAATATTCCGGGGTGAATTGTAGAAGGTGGCTTAGAAACTTTCTATGTGGTCGCTGCGCGAAGACACGAGTTGGCCACAGACACAGCGATCGGCGTCCCATGCTGCGAGGAGTTCCTCAGGGGTCCGTGCTGGGACCGTATTTGTTCTCCCTTTACGCACACCCACTTCTCAATCTGCTGAACAGCTTTGCGGGTGTCACAGCAGACATGTATGCGGACGACCTCTCTATTATCGTTAAGGGGCAGTCCCGGGAAGACGCCATTCCCACTGCCAACATGGTTCTTAAAAAGCTGCATGCGTGGAGTCAGAAAAATGGCCTGGCCATCAACCCGTCAAAGTGTGAAGCCGCTTGGTTCACACTCTCCACGCACACGGAGTCAGATTATGATCGTGAAGGAAGGTGGCCCCTGGTAGTGGCTGGATGTCAAATCCCAGTCATGACCATGGGGGCATCGCGAACTACGAAGCTTCTCGGCATGGATCTCGATCCACGACTGACGCTAAATGTGGCGGCCACCAAGCAATGCGCTGCCACTTCGCAACGGATATCGGAGCTACGCTGCATAGCGCACAAAGAGGCGGGACCATCTCCACATGACCTACGCACGTTCGTCATTGGATACGGTGCTTCCAAATTACGCTATGGCAGCGAGCTCATATGGGCAGCAGCGACGGATTCAGCGAAGAATGAGATGCAGAAGACGTACGCAACCCTGGCACGCATTGTCAGCGGAGTTCCGAGCACTGTCGACCCGGAATCCGCACTACTGGAGGCTAATATGCCGCCGCTCCACGTCCTTTGCCCGCGCGCACGGCTCTCCATATTTGAGAACACACGCGCATGTCAGACGGACTGGATGCGGAGACCCCCGCCTGAGCCACCGCCTCGTGCGGGTTTCCGCATCTCGCCATTATCTCGGGACGAGCTATATTTCTTCGTAGACGCATACACAAAGGACTATGGCATCACCGAGAGCTCACCACGCGAGGAGCGGTTCTTTCGCAGCTCCATTCCTCCCTGGTTTGCGGCCTCCGCTCACCGGGCCACCATCGGTGTGGAACTTCCGATTGACCACTCAATAACGGACGAAGAGGAGCTGATACGGGAAAAGCGCGGGGTCAGCGAAGAGGCTCTGGCGCTGCACAGCCATCGTTCGTGGATACTTGCGACCGATGGCGGTGTCGACGTTCCCAAGTCAGCAGGGGTTGGAATACTGCTTTCATCCCTCAACTCATCGGAGATAATAGAAAAGGCCAACATAAACTGCGGTGCGCGCCCATGCAGCTACAGGACGGATTCCCGCGCGCTGCTTCTAGCCCTAGAGAGGCTGATGATCCCTCGTATCCGCCACAGGCGTAAAACCCTGCTTGTGGTTACGGACAGTCAGTCTCTTCTAGCGGCTCTAAACAAGGGCCCGCTCAGTCAGACAGACTGGACGGAGGATCAGATCTGGCAGCGTCTCTTGACACTGACGTGTGCTGGCTGGTCCGTGCACCTGCAGTTTTGTTACGGACATTGCGGAGTACATGCTAACGAGCTTGCAGATCAGTATGCGACGCAGGCTATGGCAACCGGACAATACACGGAGCAAGGAGTCGCACCTTTATGGCATACGGATCTGCTGACATGTTTTACTACCCAGCTCACCAACAAGTGGCGTAGTACCATTCGTCAAGACACTCATCGCTACATGCTTTGCGGCACAAGGCCATCCGATCTCAGCGGTAAGGACCTGATCACTCAGGAAGTTCTACACCGTCAGGAACTGGTTCACCTCGCTAGGGCAAGGTGCGGGGAATCTGAGCTCTGGGGCCGACTATACTGGGCCGTGAGAGATTGCACGAATCAATGCCGATTCTGCAACATCTCACCGGAACAGTCTGCATATATGCGCTCTAACAACGATCCAACCGCACCGGGGACGGACACTGTTTCCCCGTCGGCGAGGGAGGAAGACGTCTCTCCAGTAAGGAGACGGACCCTCACACGCCGTCGGAAGGAGAAATGTCCGCACTGCGATTCTACATTGACGGGATTCTCGGGTCTCGTCAGTCACTGTCGGTCATTTCATCCGGAACATCCTCCACCGCTTCCCGAGCTCAAATGTGATTTCTGTGACATGGTTTTCCCCACACGGAGAAGCACCGCACAGCACAGAAGTCGCTGCGCACACAACCCAGACGCCACACGGCATCGGAACAGCAGTGCCAGGCGGCGATCTCTGCTGCCGCAGGATCAGCCAGCTTCCACAAGCACGCCAATCGGCCCGCAGGAAACCTTGCACCATCTGCTTCTAGAATGTCCAGGCACCTTGGCTGTGCGTCAACGGCTGGGCATTGAACAGGACCTCCGCCTCGGAAAGTTCTCTCAATGGCAGTTGCTTCGTAGCAGGAAACTTTTGTCGCTGCTTGACCACCTCTTCGGCACTCAGATGGCATTGTATAGCTAGACGCGCTGGTAAGAGTAGGAAAAAAAACTGCTGACCTCACGACGCCCAATACCACCGATGTGTGCAGCGATGGGACAGCATCCATGGTCCTCGAGCACCCGCCCCCGCCGCCAAGGAGCCCACAAACAGCAGTGTGTGCAGCAGCGCCACAAAGAGCACATCTCCTTTAAAAAAGAAGATCTAAGCGAGCAGAGGAATCTTTTTTGAAGGCGACATGTCCTTCCCGACGGTGAGCAGTGGCGAACGTATCACCTCGTGGGTGGACACACCACTGCTGCTTCTGCTTTTGGAACTGTGTGGAGTTATGGCAGTCTTCTGAGCCACGGAGTGTGGAATTGCGACTCCTCACGGAGAACATGTACTGCGTTCTCTGCGTGTTTTCTTTTATTATTTACATTTTACTGTTGGTTTTGTTGTTTTCTTAGAATAATAAGTATCCTTGCCGTTCCTTTATTTAATGGTCGGTTGATGTACACCGGAATGGGCGACGTGTTTCCCCTCTTAGTTTGCTTTTTTGTTGCCCACAACGTCGCCATTCTTACTGCTGTGTGTCCCACGGACTGCACAAAAAAAGGAGGATTTGAGGAACAGGCCGGATGCCGCAATGAAGTGTGAGGGATATTGTGTGGGCTGGTGGAATAGGACGATCTTTTTTTTTATTTCCATTTTTTTGCGGGTAGAATGTATGCACCCGGTCTTCTTGTGCTTCTAGGCACATGAAATAAAAGTCCTGGCTGGAGAAGTTTTTTACTCTGTGAGTTCTGGTGGAATCACAATTTTTTTTCTTTTTTTTATTTTTCGCAAATAACCGTGGCTTGTTTCCGTTTGTGCTGTGCTTGCCGTCACTGCCTTTCACAGTGTCTTATTGAGTTTCCCTCTGCTGGCTGTGCTGTTGACATGCCTCCATTTTCCTTTCTTTCCTGCTAGAGGCACTGATGGTCCGCGACGACGATTGTTTGTGCTCCCCATTGCGGTGGCACGAGGGTGACTGGGCGCCGGCCTGCTGAGTACATTCGGAGGGGAGCGGATGATGTGCGCCGTTTCTCACTGTGAGTGTGGAACGCAATGCCAATCCGTCGCGGCGGTGAGAAGTAAAGAACAGCGCCGTGGATTTGAATGCGCCACGTCCCTCTTGTTCCGGTCGTGGGTGTGTTGTGCGCAAGGCTCTTTGTTGCAGTGCGACGTGGATGGCGTTACTGCTGCGTATGCTTTTATGCATGCACTGTGCGGCGGACTTCCCTTTTCCATGACACCGCCCTTTTGTGTGGGAGAGTAGAGTGAGTGGAGATGTGTGAGGGTGGCCGTTGTTTCCGCACATTTGCTTCTTCCACACACACTGCTCCTGTCGGCAGCCTCTCGCGGCACCCAGGCCGTGGATCGAGAGGTGTGAGGGTCTGCTCCAAGTACAACGAGGACAACAAGATGCACTTCATGACGACCAACCTGATCCGCGGGTGGTTCCAGCGCATGGAGCACATGCGCCAGTACGCGTTGGGCGTTGCGCTCATGATTGGGGAGGAGAGGCGGCACGAGATTGTGGCGCTGTGTGTGTTGCGCGGCCAGGGCATGCCGGCCGTTGCGAGGGACGTGGAGGGCACGGAGCTGCTGGACTGAGGGAGGAAGTGGCGAACGTTGCGGCTCAGCAGGAGGGCCCGACGATCCCGAGGCCTGTGCTGGGAGGGACGTGTGTTGAAGTGAGCGTGGCGTGCCTGTGAGAGCCTGAGGAGAGGGAATAACAGTAATAGTGACTGTGGGGGTGTGAGGAACGGGCCAGGAAGCACTTCTTTTTTTTTTTTTTTGATTGTTGTTGAACCGCGCTCTCCTAATTGTTGTTGTGGCGGTGCGTGACTCTCATTGCTGGATGGGACGGTGCGTGATTGAATGAATTGTCTCTCCTTTTGCTTTCACTCTTCGTTGACGGGGAGTTAGTTTGTGCTGAGGGCGGCACGCAAGTGACAGGAGTGATGGCGATGATGATGACTGGCCGTGTGCTGCTGGTGTGTGCCCTCTGCGTGCTGTGGTGCGGTTTTTCTGGAATTGCGGCCGACGGTGCTGGAGGTGTTCCTGATGGCAGTGCGGGTGAGTGTTTGTTTTCTCGTTGGCGCGCTCAGCTGCGGAGGGAATGCGCGGAGGTCAGCAGGAGGACAGGAGGCCGTGCGAATGCGTCCGCTGTTGAGGAATGCATGCGTCGGAGGATGGACGGTGTTCTTGCCGTTGTGGATGGCCGTCGTCGTTGGAGGCGTCAACGTCCTGCCGTTGCTGCTGCTGCTGAGAACGCCGATGAGCTTGGCACGGAGAACACCTCCAGTGAAAGGAACGTTTTGTCGGGAGGTAATGGGTCGGGGTCTGAAGATGCGCACGTACGGGGGGGGGATTTACATTCTGAATCACGTGACGGTGTTGTACGACCAGAAGGTGCAACATCGGAGGAATTGAATGTGAACTCCAATTCTCACACGGAGGCGTTGCCCACAAAGGAAATAAGGCAGGTCATCCCCGAAAGTATTTCACCTGTAAGTTTACCAGACAGTAAAGAAGTGGAAGAAGATACCGCAAGTAAGGATGATAAAACGCAGGAAATATTAGTTACCGGTGAACAGCAGGCACTCCAGTCATCTTCTTCTCTAGGAGGGAATTCTCCTGCTAGCGACCAGGGGGCGGAACTCACTGCGGCAGAGAATCCCCAAAATGGTAAGAAAGGGGAAGCGGAAAAAGAAAAAAACCTTTCGGACAAAAACGTACCAACAGGAAGTGATCCATCTGCCACAAATTCTAATGACAATGCACCAACTAAACTTCAAGCGGAAACAACTCTACCCTCACCTCCCAATGCGAATTTTTCTGCCAAACATCACACCGACGAGGGTGCTGCGAAGACGATTCTGGACGCTATTCCTCTTTCTGGTGCCGCAGTGACAGAAGAAAATCCCACACTTCGACACACGACGGATCGTCCCATACAAACAACACAAGTTGAAGCCACCTTTGCCAAACCCGAAAATAACGCGGCACCGCGCGACAGTAACAGCAGTAGTCAAATCTCCAAGGGTGCAAGCAGCACTTCCAATGAAAGCGTGACACAAAACGCTGTGGATAAAGAAGTTGAAACAACGCCGGATGGCACAAACAACACAGCGTCTGAAACCAACAATTCCACAAAAGCACCAGACAACGCCACTAATAAGATAAACACGGTGACTCTCACCGACGGTGACAGCAGCACCGCGGCCTCCCACACCACCTCCCCTCTTTTGCTTGTTGTTGTTGCGTGTGCGGCTGCTGCTGCAGTGGTGGCCGCGTGAGAGTGAGTGTGAGAGAGCCGTGCACCGCCCGCACACACACTCGTCCTTCTCTCTCTGTGTGTGTGTCCCCTTGCATGGACTCTCGCCCTCACCTCACCCCACGAGACACACACAATAATGTGCCCATTGTATATATGCATGCACACCCATGCAGGCCCGTTGGTGCTCTCTTTTGCACGACACGCACCGCTGCCGTCCTGCCTGGCTGCATGGGCGGAGCACCGTAACTGTTTCTGTTTTGTTTCCATTGCATTGAGTGGTCGACCTCTCTCTCTCTCCCTCTGTGTGTGTGTTTTGCTTTAAGGGAGTAATGAGAGAGTGTGTGCGCTGGTCGTCCCACGCTTCGGCTTTTTTTTTTTTTTTACTTGTGTTTTGGTTGAGTGCACCCATTCCGCGGCTGCGTGTGTGTGTGTGTGTGTGATGATATGAGCAATTTGAGTGTGTGCTATCTGCCTCTCTCTGCCGTTGCTTTCTTCAGACTCTCTTGTGGCGCACAGCTGCTCTGCAAGTATAGGCGCTGAAAAAACGCACTCATATTGACACACACACACACACACACACAATATGTCTCACACGCTGTGGAGCGGTGTGAACGCTGAGAATGCACACATGCACATGATTCCGACTGCGGCGGCCCTTGCGAGGACGGAGGACGTTAGCCCTCGATGTGTTTTGTTGGCATGTTGCTGGTGTGCATTCGGTGGGTGCTTTTTTGGGGGTGCCTGATACAACTGTTGATTGGTTCTCACCAAGCTGCTGCACATGCTGACGGGTCCCTCCCGCTCTGGATTTGTCGGTATTCTTTGGCTGTGCGGTGTGATACGCGCCTGCGGCGAGGAAGCGGGTGCATTGGAGGAGAAAACGGTAAAAAGACTGGCGGCAGCGTGTCGGTGCTGCGAAGGGCGGTTGTGCTCTTTTGTAATTTGCTGGTTGTTATCGTGTGTTGGCGTCGCTCGGTGTGTGCTGACGCGTGGATAACGACACACCCGCCGTGACTCCTGCTGCTGGTGGTGACAGTCGCTGTGTGTTCCCGGTGCACTGCTTTTCCTTGTCGTTCCGTGTGTCTGTCTGCGTGAGTTGTTGTTGTTGGGAGTGACTGCGGCGGGGATGATGGTGCCACTCACCGTGGATGGGTGGCGGTGCTCACTGTTTCCTTCATCCTTTTTTTATTAGCCTGTTTTCTTCATTTCTTTCACTCTCTTACGAAGAAAGCAAACAAGCGTCAATCGCTACTGTGAAATTCGAAGGCACCAAAAGGACCAACAGCACACACACCGCCCACACACACATTTATATGCTCTCACGTGTTGCTGCAGTGAAGGCACCCCGCACACACAACCGTCGCCGCGTGACCGGATCCAGCGGAAGGAGGAGGGAAGGAAGAGAGAGTGAGCCGCCGAGGCCCAACATGTCCCGGCGTGTGTTTACTTCCGCGGTGCTGCTCCTCCTCGTCGTTATGATGTGTTACGACACCGGGGCTGCAGCCAATAATAATGGAGCGGCGTCGTGTCCAGTATCTTCACCGGGGAAACATTTTGCTTGGAGAGATAAGAAAGGAGAAGAAAAAGTGGATTCGGTCCATGCTCCCAGTCTTTTTGAGGTGAATGGTAAAGTATTTGCCGTTGCCGAAGCACAGTGCACGAAGAAAGAAGGATGCGTTTTCACTGGGATTGCCTCGGAACTCCTGGAGTTTAATGGTGAAACGCTAAAAGAGGAGTTGCATGAGAACAAACTGAAGACACAAGTACTGGATGAATGCTCTGCTTCGGAAGAAAGGCAATGCCCCTCACAAGCAGTGAAACCGGACAGTTCCCAAAGAGTGATGAACTTACGTGTCGGCCGGCCAACAACACTTGTGAAAGGAAGTGATATTTACATGCTTGTTGGAAACTACAGTCGGACAGCTGCCACTGGTACTGAGGAGAGTGTAGGAGATGAATGGGGACTTTTGCTGGCGAGAGGAAACGTCAGTGGTGAAGAAAGCGGCAAAAGAGTAAACTGGAATGATACCTACCGTTTTCTCTGGACTGATTTGAAAAAACAACAGCAGTCCTTGACAGGGCTGATTGGCGGCGGTGGATCGGGTCTTAAGATGAAGGACGGTCCGTTTCTGTTCCCAGTGGAAGGAACGAAAAAAGAGAATGGGAAGACCGTTTCACTGATTATATACTTTTCGGCCAATGATGGTTGGGTGCTGTCGAAGGAGGTGCCTGCCGATGGCTGCAGTGATCCCTCCGTCGTGGAGTGGAAGGGAAAACTCATGATGATGACTGCGTGTGATGATGGCCGCCGCAGGGTGTACGAGTCCGATGACAAGGGGAATTCGTGGACGGAGGCACTCGGGACACTCTCGCGCGTGTGGGGCAACAAACAGGGTGTTAGGAGCGGGTTCACCACAGCGACTCTTGGCGACGATGTTGGAGATGATAATAACAGAAACGTGATGCTTGTTACTCTGCCGGTGTATTCTATGAAGACTGAGGGGGTAATCGCAAATGAAAAAGGTGAACTCCATCTTTGGCTGACGGACAATACGCACATTGTTGATATTGGGCCGGTATCCGGTGATGATGACGCTGCCGCCAGCTCCCTGCTGTACAAAAGTGGAAATAATAATAATGAGGAGTTGATTGCACTGTACGAGAAGAAGAAGGGCGATGGGGAAAAACCATCACCCGGTATGGTCTCTGTGCGTCTGACTGCGCAGCTGCAGCGGGTGAAGGATGTGCTGGCGACCTGGAAGAAGGTGGACGGACGTGTCTCCAAGCTGTGCCCTTCTGAGAAGAATGCCTCACCTGACACTGCCTGCAGCACTGCCATTCCAACGGATGGGCTGGTTGGCTTTTTGTCCGGCAACTTCTCTGGTAACACATGGAGGGACGAGTACCTTGGGGTGAACGCCAAAGTAAAATGTGCTGCAGAACTTGCAACGGAGGCAACATTGCATGCCGATGGCGTGAATTTCACAGGGCGTGGTGCGTGGGCGGAGTGGCCTGTTGGCGAGCAGGGGGAGAATCAGCTGTACCACTTTGCGAACTACAACTTCACTCTTGTGGCGACGGTGTCTATCCACGGTGAGCCGAAGGAGGGAGAAACCCCCATTCCATTGATGGGTGCCAAGATGAATGACAATGAGAATCCAGTTCTTTTGGGACTGTCATACGACAGCGAAAAGAAGTGGCGGGTGCTGTGCAGTGGCCAAAAGACAGAGAAGCTCGGCAGCACTTGGGAGCCACAGACAACTTACCAAGTGGCCATTGTGCTACAGAACGGCACCCAGGGCTCTGCGTACGTCGATGGTAAGCGTGTGGGAGATGAGTCATGTGAATATGAAAACACGAGGGATAAGGGAATTTCACACTTCTACATTGGAGGGGATGGAAGCAATGCAGAGGGCCAAGAAGGCGTTTCCGTGACGGTGACGAACGTATTGCTGTACAACCGTCCGTTGACTTTTGAGGAGATTGCTGGACTCGCCAAAAATACAATTACTATTCCGAAGCCGGAAGGCCCGACGACATTGGTGGTGGATGCTCGTTCACCAACGGTAAGTGCACTGGATGTGGAGAGAACCGTGTTGCAGCCTAATTCTGCCGGGCAACCGCCGTTGGAAGAGGAATTGTTGAATGGAGGTAATGGTGCGGACGCTGGCGGTGTATCCAGTGCAGCTTCCATTGCTACGACTCCCTCGTCTGACTTTGCCCAAGAGGCGGCGACAGGGAGTGGAGATACGATGCTGGGAACTGGATCAACCCAAGCTCCTGAGGTGAGCGTGAGCTCTGGTGAGGATGAGGAGACGGCGAAAAGAACGGATGGGCAGCAGGGAATCCATCCACATAACGGGGAAGTAAATGCTACGGCACTCAACAGCAGCCTCGGAAATTTGTCGCGGGGGAATAACACCGATGGCGGCACCATGCGTGGGAGCGGACTTCTGCCATTGCTTCTTCTGTTGGGTCTGTGGGGGTTTGCGGCTCTGTGAGGAGTGACTGGCTGCCGCGTGGAATACCTGCGACCTCCCGAGCACGGAAATACTATTCTCATGGGAATGAATTACTTTCATAAAAACTATTTTTTGTGTATTTTAAATTTATTTTCCTGTTTGCTTTTTTCTTGTTTTAAAATTCTTTTTTCTCTTTTATGTGTTTGTGATTTTCATTTTTTTTTTGTTGCTTTTCAGTACGTTTTTTAATTTTTTACCTTCTTTCAAAATTTTTTTCTATTTCTTGCTGCACTCTTCCTGTGAGGGGTGCCGTGTGTTTCCCGCCCAACTGCTCCACTCGCACACCCACCGACACGCTCATGACGACGGCCCTGTGCGCCTCGCCTGCTGCACGCATGAGGAGGGGCCGCGACGAACGGCGCGCTGAGGGAGCCGTGACGTGTGGGCGTGCGACGAGGGCCTGTGGGGCGGAGCACACATTTCTTCCCTCTTGTTTTGTTTTCTTTGCGGCCAGGGCGGGCAGACACCCGCAGCGCCACACACACAGCCACACCCTGCCGCCGTGTTTTTAAGATTTCTTTTTTTTTTTGCTGCGCTCACTCTCCCGATGGAGTGACGCGACCGCCGTCATGTCTGCGTGCTTCTCTCAGTCCCCACACACACGAGTGACTGTGCTCTGCGGGCCGCACTCACGCGCCGATGGGAGGGCTGAGGGGAGCAGCAACACGCAGATGACCCCATGAAATATAAACGATGTGCGGACACGCAGAGGGTCGGATGGTTGAAAGGCATTTAAATATCTTTTAATTTTATTTTGGGGGCAAAATATATGCAGACAGTTTGGTGTGGCCGCACGGCAGCCGGCTGTCTTTTGTTAATTTGTGTGGAACAGTAATGGACGATTTCTTCTTTATTTATAATTATTTTGTGTGATGGGGTTTGTGTAAGATGAAAGGGAAAGCTTTTTTTTGTTTTGGATAAATTTTGTGTGAATTGCCGCTGCTTGGGCTGCAGTGCATTCATGAGTTTGAGCGGTCTTCTTCTTGTTGCTTCCGCCATGCACCTCCGCTGTACATTTTGTTGCATCCCACACACTCTGCTTCCATTTCTCTACTTTTTTGCTTTGTGTTTCTGCAGGCACACACAACCACACGCACAAGATGCACATTGCAGTGGATTTGAATGCTTCTTTTGCAGTGCATGCTGGCAGTTGCGTGTGGCGGCTGTTGTCTTCCTCCGTGGCCATGAGGAGAAGGGAGAGGGAGTGCGCAGCCCGCGTCACCTTTCCTGCGGGTGTGGAGCACCGCGTGTGACTGCGTTGATTTGGGCTCCGTGTCCCATTGAGGGCAGGATGGCAGGAAATTTTTTACTGCGTCATGGATGGATGAGGGTTCGCTCGCTCCGTGTGCGTTGTGTTGTGGCTGCGGGTTGTGGCCATTTCCCGTTGGCTGTGGGAATGAGCTGAGGGAGATGGTGGTGGATGTCTTCTCCTCCTGCATGGTGGGTGGCTGCTGGCGTTGTGTGCCTTCCTTGCGTGGATGCCGTCTCGTGGTGTGTGAACTGTGCGGCTGGGCCTCCTGCCCTCTCCTCATGTTGTCTGCTCTCTCTCGCTGTATCCGCTGTGCCCCGCTCCTCTCCCTCTCGTTTCATTCTTTTTCTTCTGTCTCACCGCTCAGCTGACTGACACCAGCGACTCCACTACGGGTGACGGTGACTGCGGTGGTGACGGTGCGGCTTCGTATGGTGTGCGCCGTGTTATTTATTGCGCTCTCGTGCTGCTGCTGCTGCTGCAATTCTGTGTGCGTGACGGCCGCTGGTGATGGTAATGACTCCCACACAATCGCCAGTACTCTAGAAGGATCACGTGGGACCAATACGGCAGGATCAACAAGTTTGGGAAGCGGTGCGGAACAGTCACAAAGTACGTCCTGTGTGGAAGGGCCTCAAGGTTGAGCAGCCGGCGAAGGAAAAAAAAACACTGAGAATGCAGAGACTAAACATTTTGGTAAGGCAAAGGAAAAAAATGTGGCTAAAATTAATGTACAGGCAAAAACGACGACGACAACAGAGACGCCAACCACGACGACCACCCGTGCACCGTCACGTTTTCGTGAAATCGACGGCAGCCTCAGCAGCTCTGCGTGGGTGTGTGCCACGCTGCTGCTCGCCGTATCCGCGCTGGCGTGCACCACTGTGGGCTGAAGAGGTGTGTGCGGGCTGTGCGTGCCAGCACTCAACCGCAGGGATTTGTACGTGTCCACTGTGGTCCGATGTAAATAAATAAGAGAAAACAATGATTGTGTTTTGCTTCACTTGCTTCCGCTGCCATGCTGTGTGCTCCGCGTTGCTGCTCCCTCTATCCGTCACGTTGAACGCATCCCAGACACACTCATATGCACGACACGCATACAAATTTTTGCGTGGAATCACATTTGAGGATAGGTGCATGTGCACTGGAGCCATTTGGGTGCAGTTTTTCTTGTTTTGTATTTTACTTTATTGCTGCTTGTTTTCTGTTGTTTTTATTTTTTTGTGTGCTTTTTTTTTTTTTCAAATTATTGCGGCGTGTTGTGCGTTTTTTGCACTTTCATTGGTTCAATATTTCTCATCGAATGCGTGCTGCTGCTGCTGGTGTTTTTTACTGTGCCGTGTGACTTGTATTTTTTCATTGCTTTCACTCTTCGTTGACGGTTTGTTAGTTTGTGCTGAAGGCTGCACGCAAGTGACAGGAGTGATGGCGATGATGACTGGCCGTGTGCTGCTGGTGTGTGCCCTCTGCGTGCTGTGGTGCGGTGCCGGCTGTGGTTTTTGTGAGGGAACTTTGGAGGATGAATTCTGCAATAAGTCATATGTGGAGGCTTTGAGTTTGCTGGCGAATAAGACTGACGATGAGATTAAAAAGAAATACTGCAAACAGGAAGATGAAAAAGCAACGTGTTTAAAGACGTTGAGGAGTAATATTGCAGATGCGCTGGAGAAAGAAAAGGCGAAGGAAGACAATGCAGCTCACAGAGAGTCGGACATCTCGAGGGATACGGGAGCGTCAGTTGGCAGCCCAACAACGAAATCGTCAAAGGCCGCCGGCGCGAATACTGCCGTGTTGTCATCTCCGCCTCCTTTAAATGTGGAAGGTGGTTTTGATGCCCAAATTCACGGATCAGCAGGTGGTGCTGGCCACCAGCAGCATTCCGATGACGTTCGCAGTGAAGAAGAGCAAAGGAATCACCCAGAGTCCGGGCGCTGCAGCGAAGGTCAAGATGCCTTGGGCGAATGCAGTCATGTGCCCGCAGGTGACGCAGCGGCGGAGGGATCGCATCAACACAGCGTGGACGCGCAAGGCAAAACGATCCACAAGAAAGGCGAAGAAACAACACCAACAGGACTGAAGTCGACCGAAGCACGGGATGGCACGGACGGAGCGCCAGCACCACCACAAGATCCACCAAATACGACTGAATCACACGAGGATAAATCCCGGAGAGTGGCTGCACCAGACACAATTCCTGCAGATAATACATCACCAGGCAGCAACCAGGAGCAAACATCCCAGTCTTCGTCTCCCAGTGGCAGTGAAACCACCGGCAGCTCGGATAAAGAGGACCGAGAAAAAAACTCCAAAAATGCACAAATATCCGATACCCCACTGAAAGATGAAGAACAGCACCGTGAGAGTACAGCTGGTAGTAAAGACGCAACAACAGTTGAATCTGCCGCTGAGCAACGTAATACGACGACGCCTGGCGACAGTGACGGCAGCACCGCGGTCTCCCACACCACCTCCCCTCTTTTGCTTGTTGTTGTTGCGTGTGCGGCTGCTGCTGCGGTGGTGGCCGCGTGAGAGTGAGGGAGAGAGAGCCGTGCACCGCCCGCACACACACTCTTCCTCTCACTCTCTGTGTGTGTCCCCTTGCATGGACTCTCGCCCTCACCTCACCCCACGAGGCACACAATAATGTGCCCATTGTATATATGCACGCACACCCATGCATGCCCGTTGGTGCTCTCTTTTGCACGACACGCACCGCTGCCGTCCTGCCTGGCTGCATGGGCGGAGCACCGTAACTGTTTTTTATTGTTGTTGTTTGTTTTTTGTTAATTTTTTTGATTTGCTTTTGCTGTGAGCGTTTATCTATTTCTTACAAACCCAGTCCTTTTTTTTGCGTATTTTAAATTTATTTTAATGCTTGCTTCTTTCTTGTTTTAAAATTCTTTTTTTATTTTTATGTGTTTGTTGCTTTTTTTTACATCCCTCTTTTTTTTGCTTTTTTGGGGGCAATCACTATGGACGTTTTTTTCTTTTCTACTCTTCCCTCTTTAATTGTTTGTTGCTGCACTCTTCCTGTGAGGGGTGCCGTGTGTTTCCGCCCAACTGCTCCACTCGCACACCACCGACACGCTCATGACGACGGCCCTGTGCGCCTCGCCTGCTGCACGCATGAGGAGGGGCCGCGACGAACGGCGCGCTGAGGGAGCCGTGACGTGTGGGCGTGCGACGAGGGCCTGTGGGGCGGAGCACACATTTCTTCCCTCTTGTTTTGTTTTCTTTGCGGCCAGGGCGGGCAGACACCCGCAGCGCCACACGCACAGCCACACCCTGCCGCCGTGTTTTTAAGATTTTTGCTTTGCGTGTTTATTTCACGCGCCGGCAGTCCCTTCGGTGTCGGCCTCGTGAGCATTTCTTTTCCCTCCTGATGATTTTTCTCTTTTGCTGCGCTCACTCTCCCGATGGAGTGACGCGACTGCCGTCATTTCTGCGTGCTTCTCTCAGTCCCCACACACACGAGTGACTGTGCTCTGCGGGCCGCACTCACGCGCCGATGAGAGGGCTGAGGGGAGCAGCAACACGCAGATGAACCCATGAAATATAAACGATGTGCGGACACGCAGAGGGTCGGATGGTTGAAAGGCATTTAAATATCTTTTAATTTTATTTTGGGGGCAAAATATATGCAGACAGTTTGGTGTGGCCGCACGGCAGCCGGCTGTCTTTTGTTAATTTGTGTGGAACAGTAATGGACGATTTCTTCTTTATTTATAATTATTTTGTGTGATGGGGTTTGTGTAAGATGAAAGGGAAAGCTTTTTTTTGTTTTGGATAAATTTTGTGTGAATTGCCGCTGCTTGGGCTGCAGTGCATTCATGAGTTTGAGCGGTCTTCTTCTTGTTGCTTCCGCCATGCACCTCCGCTGTACATTTTGTTGCATCCCACACACTCTGCTTCCATTTCTCTACTTTTTTGCTTTGTGTTTCTGCAGGCACACACAACCACACACACAAGATGCACATTGCAGTGGATTTGAATGCTTCTTTTGCAGTGCATGCTGGCAGTTGCGTGTGGCGGCTGTTGTCTTCCTCCGTGGCCATGAGGAGAAGGGAGAGGGAGTGCGCAGCCCGCGTCACCTTTCCTGCGGGTGTGGAGCACCGCGTGTGACTGCGTTGAGTTGGGCTCCGTGTCCCATTGAGGGCGGGATGGCAGGTAATTTTGATGCCGCATGATGGATGGATGAGGGTTCGCTTGCGCGTGTGCCTGGTGTGGTGGGTGCTCGCTCCGTGTGCGTTGTGTGGGCGGCCACGTGTAACACATTGAGTGATCTTCGCCCCTACATTGGCGCCATGAACTTTGATCCGAAGTACATGACTGACACGGCGTGGAGCGTTCGCGTTGCCGCACACGAAATTGCGCATGCGCTTGGGTTCAGCCAGGAGAGCATGAGAGAAAAGAGCGTGGTGAAGAAGAGAGAGAGAAGTGTGCGTGGGACGCACCGCAGGATGGTGGCAGGAAAGCACGTTCAGGAGAAGGCGGAAGCGCACTTTGGCTGTGACTCTCTCGAGGGCATGGTGCTGGAGGACGAAGATGGCTCTTGGGAAAAGGAAATCCCTCACTGGAAGGGACGCCACGCGTGGGACGAGCTGATGGCCCCCCCCAGTTGGTGCCGGCTACTTCACGGCTCTGACGATGGCGATGTTTGCGCATATGGGATACTACCGCGTGAATTGGAGGATGGCGGAGCCGATGAGCTGGGGCCATCGCAGTGGCTGCGACTTCCTGGTCAATAAGCGCAATACAACCGATAATCTTGCCGCCAAGTATCCTCACATGTTTTGCGATGCTAAAGACACAGAGACGCTTCGTTGCACCTCCGACCGCCGTCACGTTGGGACGTGCACCGCAAGCATCGTTGAGGACAAGGAGAGTCTGGTGGATAAGGACGTTTGCCCTGTCGTATCTTTGGAATTTCACGAAGTCTCGTCTGGGACAACGTACAGGAAGTGCTCGGACGAAAATGTGGATTATCTCCGTGTGTCGCTGACTGGCGGTGGCTCGTGGTGCCTGGACGCAGAATTACTGGAGACGAAGGACGGTGATAGCCATAAAAGCGTCAAGGGAGTGTGCACGCAGGTGTCGTGTGGGGAGGGCACAGTGAGGGTGAAGCACCTCGGCAGCAGTGTTTTTCAGCCTTGACCTGAGGGCACTGACATCCCAGTGACGTTTAAAGATTTTCAGAAAGATGGGAAGATCAATTCCCCACGTACGGCGAGGTGTGCACCATTGCCGCGAACGGCAGCAGTCTTGTCGTTCCGAGAGCGTTGGTGGGTGGACAGGGTGACGAGCAAGAGGAGGAAGCAGAAGAGTCTGCGGTTGCTTCAGGGTCGCCTTCTCCGGAGGATACTCGTCCACAGTTGTCTCGTGTGGCGTCTGGTGCCTCCATTGAGAAGGAGCCTCCCGGTGCTTCGGCTGCGGGTGTCGCTGGTGGTGGCCTTCATGCCGGTCCAAGGGGTGATCCGGGGTGCGGACCGAAAGTGAGGACAACACTCAGCGGCGAGGGAGGAGACCTGGCAGTGGGAGCGAGGGAGCCAACAGAGCCTCCGGCCCCGACGCCTTCTTTGCGCCATCGCCCGGCGAGGACGTTGCACGAGCGGAGGGCGACCCTCGGGCGGATTGCCCAGCGGTGATTCCCAGTGCCTCTGCGCCTGCCACTCCGATTCCGTCCGTCAACGGCGACGACTTTCAGGCGATACCCGATGCGTTGGTACAGCAGGCCGACAGTGATTGTTGTGTGGCTGCTGCTACCGCTGGCCTCGTTCCCCTTGTGCTTCTTGTTGTGGTTGCTGCGGCGGTAGTGGTGGTGCCTCTTTGAGCAGCCGCGGCGGCTGGGCGCAATCAAACTGCGGCAGGGCGACAGTATTTACTTGGCACATTGACCCCGCACTCAAGATGTGCAAAACCGTAGCAATAACAATATAATACACTCACTGCATTCCCCATGTCCTTCTTTGCTTGCGGTGGTGGGCAAAATGACCGGTCTTTTATTGCATTGTTTGTTGTTCTGGGAAAAGGTGTTTTTGTTTAGAGGGTTTAACTTCCGTGAAAACTGTGTGCGAACGAAGTAACATGGAGAGAAAAGACGTTTCCCAGCACCACATGTATGCACGCGTTTTTTGATGCGATTGGAACGAGGGGAAACCACCGTACTCTAATCATGAGTAAAAAGTAAAGTAAATGTGCTCCAATGGAGGCGGGGTCGTGCCAGCAGCTGTTTCTCTGAAGGACAGGGACGACTGCCTCTGCCTCCGTAATTGGTGCATGCGGCTTTATCTTTTACGCTTTTGCTTGGTTTTGTGACTTTGCTTCTTTTTTTGTGTGTGTCATTGCGAGAATGTGGACCTCAAATAATTTCTGTGCTTCGGCTTTCAATCCGTATGCGCCCTTTTTATTTTTTGCCTTCCCGGCTTCTTGTGTTCGTTCTTGAATGGCTGTGTGTGTTTCGGGTGCTCTGCTGCACTGTGGGTAGTGTGTCTTAATTCCCTCTGTCCCTGCTGTTCTGATTGTGAGGACACGCTGTGGGTCAGGGTGCATGGCTCCGTGGTTGCGGCACTATTTGTTGTGGTTGCGTTGGGGCAGCCCCGACAAGACTGCCAACGTGTGGCTCTTGGGTGTCTTACTGGGCTCATTTCCGTCTCCTGCGCGATGGACTCCCGTCGTCGGCGCACCCTTTCGTGCAGTGGCGTCAGCGCAACAAGGTGGCAGTTTTGCTGTTGTTGCTGCTTCAGCTGTTTTGTGTTTCCCTCTGGTATTATGGGGTGCGGGTGTCGGATGTGGCGGCAATGAGCCGGAGATAAGGAGGATGGTGCGTGCGTGCGGGAGGACCGTGCGGTGTTGGAGCGGTGCGCACTGTTTGCGGGCTTGATGCGCCCCTTTGGTGCATGGCGTGTCTTGGTGTGTACTTCTTGCCGTGTGTGGTGCCAGCCGGCTCTTCACGATTGTGGCAATGGCGTGTTGACAGCTGTGTTTGGGTTGGCGCTGGCTGTTCCACCCTCTGGGTCTACGAGGGCGTATGCGTCACGTTGAGTGACAACAATCGCGCACGACGCCTGGTCCGCAAGCAAGTGACACACCGATTGCCGACGCGGCGCGGCCCTCTTACCTTTTTTGACCCTCTGGTAGCCTGCAGTCTGATGTCTAGCCGTAGTGGTCTCCTCTTTTCTCACTCGTTTTGTGTGTGACCGCATGTACTGACCACAACAATTGTACAATACAAGTATTACAGAGTGCAGGTTTGTGTGTGTGCCTGCCGCCGTGGATTGGAGTGTGTGTTGTGCGTGGTGTGCGGCGTACGGTGCATGCCTGGCTGCTGCCCTCTCCTCATGTGGTGTGCCCTCTGTGTGTGTCTGCCGCACCTCTCGTCTCCCCTGCTGCTCTCCATGTCCCTCACTGTGCAGGTCAGCTCCACACCACTGAACGACCACACTCACGATGATGATGACGTGCCGTCTGCTGTGCGCCCTGTTGGTGCTCGCCCTGTGCTGCTGCCCGTCTGTGTGCACCTCAGAGTCTCCGAAGATGGATGATGCTTCTAGTGCGACGACGAACACGATAACACAGACACCAACCACTAACAAGCCGGGTGGCGCTGATGGAAGCGTAAACAGTCATTCTACTTCTTCAGATTCAGGACTACAAGAGAATGATCAGTCAGGGTCATCAGATTTGGGCCCCGTTGCGGACAATGGAACAAAAGCCGGAGCGGATCCAGGTGCGGCCACTCTGGAAAAGGAATCAAACGGCCCGAACAATGTGGTACATACCGAAGTCAAGAGAAGCACGCCAGAGTCACAAAGTGGTACGAGTGTTTCCTTGGAAAATGAAGATAATGAAGCCGAAGATGCTCCCACGACAACCACGACGAGCACAAAAGTGCCCATTAAGTCCACTACTGCGCCGGAGGCACCAAGTACCACAACTACAACACAGGCACCAACCACGACGACCACCCGCGCACCGTCACGTCTTCGCGAAATCGACGGCAGCCTCAGCAGCTCTGCGTGGGTGTGTGCCACGCTGCTGCTCGCCGTATCCGCGCTGGCGTACACCACTCTGGGCTGAAGAATTGTATGCGGGCTGTGCGTGCCAGCACTTAATCACGGGGATTTGTGCGCGTGTGTTGTGGTCCGATGTAAATAAGAGAAAACAATGATTGTGTTTTGCTTCACTTGCTTCCGCTGCCCTGCTGTGTGCTCTGCGTCGTTTCACGCATCCGTCACGTTGAACGCGTAACAGACACCCATATGCACGATAGGCACGCAACTGTTTGCGTGGACGCATCTTTGTGTGGTGGTGCATGCACACTGGCACCATACTGTGCAGCTCTTTTTATTGAAATTTTTGTTGTTTTTTTACTTGTGTTTTTTTTTCTTGCTGATCAATTACTGCGGAGCTGTGTGCGTGCATTTTTTGCCCTCTCACTGATACCAACTGCCTCATGGTGTGTGCTCTGTTGCTGCTGCCATTTGTCAATGTGCGGTGGCAGTGCGTGGTGTAGCGGTCGTGTCTCTAATTCTTGCTTTCACTCTGCGTTGACGTGTTGTTAGTTTGTGCTGAAGGCTGCACGCAAGTGACGGGAGTGATGGCGATGATGACTGGCCGTGTGCTGCTGGTGTGTGCCCTCTGCATGCTGTGGTGGGGCCTTTTTGGAATTGCGGCCGACGGTGCTGGAGGTGCCGATGGCAGTGCGGTTGAGTATTTGTTCCCCCGGTGGCGCGCTCAGCTGCGGAGTGAATGCGCGGAGGAGGTCGGCAGGAGGACAGGAGGCGGTGTGAATGATCCAGCTTTGGAGGAATGCGTGCGTCGGAGGACGGACGGTGTGCGTGCCGTTGTGGATGGCCGCGGTCATTGGAGGCCTCAACAGTTTGTCGTTGTTGCCACTTCTGCTGGTGACACTTCTGATGATTACAAAGACCCGGGATCTCTCCCGGAAGGACAGTCAGGGAGCGTCGCTCAATTGACGGTTCAACAACCGTTGAAACCAGCGCCGAGCTCGGTGCCAGGATCAGCGGATAATGCAACCGAAAAAAATAAGCCAACAAATCCCGCACAGCCTCTTGCGACGGGGGAGAAAATAAATGGAGAATTAATAGAAATAAAAAGTGACGATGAAGGCACAAAGGGGAAAAGCGAAGATGAAGGCGAGAAAGTTGAAGAAAACGATGATGAAGCAGATGGTAATGCAGGCAGCGGCACATCCGATGGAAGTCAAGAGCAAGGAAAGCAGAAAGCAGGTACTGGACAAGGGGCATCAGGAGGCACTGCAAAAGAAAATGTAAATGTTGTTGCCGGCAGCAACTTGGCGGAAGGGGCCGCAGCCTCTCCGCCTGTTGTTTCCGTCAACGTTGAGAATCCCAAAAGTGTCGAGTTGATTCGTGACGATGTTGGAGGAAGGAGACAAACCCGTGAAAAGACAGTGCAAGAGCCACCAGCCGTGAAACTGAAAGAGAATGTACCAGCGGAATTAATTTCCACAGAAGATGCAGCGGAAGGAGAAAAACAAAAGACGGAAGAAAAAGCGGAAGAGGCAGAAACGAAAGAGGAACAAAAAAACGCCGCAGAAAAATCAAAAGAAGAAACGCCAACAGCACCAGAGAAAAAGACGAAAGAAGAGCAAAAGGATAAGGAGGTACAACGCGTACGAAGCAAAAACGAAGAAAAAGAAACGGATGGGGCAGAGCCACCAGCCAAAAAAGAGGCAGAGGTTGAAAAAACGGCCGCATTCAAAAATATTCATATGAATAACATTACCAAACCTGGCGACAGTGACGGCAGCACAGCTGTCTCCCACACCACCTCCCCTCTCTTGCTTCTTGTTGTTGTTGCGTGTGCGGCTGCTGCTGCGGTGGTGGCCGCGTGAGAGTGAGTGTGAGAGAGCCGTGCACCGCCCGCACACACACTCTTCCTTCTCTCTGTGTGTGTGTCCCCTTGCATGGACTCTCGCCCTCACCCCACCCCACGAGGCACACACATAATGTGCCCATTGTATGTATGCATGCACACCCATGCAGGCCCGTTGGTGCTCTCTTTTGCACGACACGCACCGCTGCCGTTCTGCCTGGCTGCATGGGCGGAGCACCGTAACTGTTTCTGTTTTGTTTTTATTGCATTGAGTGGGCGACCTCCCTCTCTCTCTCTCCCTGTGTGTGTGTTTTGCTTTACGGGAGCAATGAGAGTGTGTGTGCGCTGGTCGTCCCACGCTTCGGCCCTTTGTTTTTTTCATTGTTTTACTTGTGTTGAGGTTGAGTGCACACATTGCACTTTCTGATCGGCTGCATGTTTGTGTGTGTGATGAGGTGGGTAATTTGCGTGTGCGCTATCTGCCTCTCTCTGCTCTTTGTTCCCGTTGAATTCTTTTGCGGCATGGCTGCTCTGCAAGTATATCCACTGACATGCACACCTATACATGCCATTATGCACACGCTGTGAGCGCTGAAGGCGTGCGAGTACGGCCGCAACTGCAGCCCGTGCGGCCACTGTCCTGTGCTGCAGACGGAGGATGGCTTTGCTATATGTATTCCTTCCGGACCACTGTGCATCGTCAATGGTTTTGTTTTTGTTCCGCATCGTCTGAAATTCGCACATGCTTACGCAGCTGACACCGTGGTGCACATCGCGTGGGGATTGTATTGCTGGCATTAATGGGTTAGCTTTCTGCTGCATCGTCTTGTCCACACGATGGGGTGGAAGGCGGGTTTGTTGGATGCGCCGTGCTTCTGGCTTGAAGGGTAGAGACGCTGCGCCCACATATTGTTTTTTTGGTGCCCGGCGTCACGGGGTGGAATGCCAAGTGTTGTATTGTATGAGACGTCGATGCCGTCGAAGCTGTTGCTGGTGTGGCGTCCATCCCACTCACACACTCACTAGAAAACAAGTGACGGGCTGTGCGCGCTCCCTTCTGCGCGTGTGTGGAGTTTGGTGTTGTGGTTGCTGTGCTCTTTTGCCGTTCACTTGCCGCGTTGTGGATGAGGTGTGTGTGTGCTTGCCTCACCACTACCGTGCCGCCCCAGCAACGCGCTGGATGAAGTGGAGGCCGTATTTCTGCTCTCCGAGGTGTCTTGATGTAGGCGGCATGGACGACACGTGTGTGGGCCCGTTACCCGCAATACGTGGACCCTCCACACTCTAATGATGCCATCCGCAGCTTTCATTTTTTCTTGTTTCTGCGTCACGCTCCACGCCAGGCGCTGGGCGAGGGCGGCGGAGCGGAATGTGGAGAATGCAGTAGCGTCAGCGGCGCCTTGGCCGTCGCTGTCTGCCGCTTGCCGCGTCAGCGACGTCACAGTTGTTCTTAATTTGTTTGCTGCGGGTGCATTTTATTGAGGGCGCACTCTTCCGAGAAGGCCTGCATTTTTGTGCTCCTGGCATCCTCTGTCTTCAACTTGTGTTTCCGTTGCTTGCGAGCGACGCCTGTCCTGCGTGAGTGGTGCTCCTCGTGCTTCTGCCTTGTTGCGACGGCGCCGTTCTCTGATTTACTTCTTCCGCTTCCTTTTCTTTTACGTTTGGAGGAGTGGAGGGACAGGAGCCAAGGAAGCAGTTTCACAATGAGTGGAGTGTACATTGCTGGCCCCGCTGTGTTCGACGCAGACACGGGTGCGGCGTGCCAGGATCGTGTGCGCACGGCTCTGTGGGTACACGGCGTCGTGCCGCTCATTCCCGCTGGAAACGTGGCCCCAGGGGCTGGGGAGATGCGGGTGAAGAAAGTGGAGATGGTAAGGCGGCGCGACGCCGTCATTGCGGACCTGTGTCTGTTTTGCTTGGATGGGCCGGGCTGCGGGACGGCGTTTGAAGTGGGCCACGCTGCCGCCCTGGGAATGACGGTGCTGACATTTACGCTCGATTGGCGTTCCATGAGGGAGAAGTACGGCGGCGCGTGTGACGCGTCTGTGATGAGTGTGGAGGACTTTGGTCTTTCATTCAGTCTGGTGCTCTGCGACGGTGCGGAGGCGTTTTACTCCTTCGACGCTGCCCTTCACCACTTTCTGAGGCACAGCTCGGAATGGCGAGGATGCGACTGTGGGGGATGTGTGCGAAGTTGGAGTTAATGCGTTGGATCCTGGTGGGATTTTGTGCACGGCTTGGCGTGCATCCCCGCGCAATGGCCGGCGGATATTCCATGCCGTGTTTCTCAGCAACAGGGCGGGCGACTGGCTCCGTGCGGCACAGCTGAGTCTGCCGTGTGTGCCGCTGACTGTTGTCTGTTTAGTGCTTTTTCCGCTGCTTTTGTGTGTAGGCCGGAGATGTTCTCCTGTTGCCCACGAGGCGGGTATCCCTTTTTTTTTTTGGTTTGGCTGTGAGCGCTGGCACGTCTGTTGGTGGTTGTGCGTCGACCTTTTTGAAAAAACACACAGCCCTTCCACCTCATTGTGTATGGTTGGTGGGAATAAATGATTTCTGGTTCTGCAGTGACACGCTGTGCACCCCACTGGTGTGTCTAATGTGTTTCCCTGTGCTCTTCTCCCCATTTGTGACACACACACTTGAAAAGGAAAGCAAACAAGCACTTAACGCTACTGTAAGATTCGAAGGCTCTGAAAGGACCAACAGCACACACACCGCACACACACACATATTTATATGCTCTCACGTGTTGCTGCAGTGAAGGCACCCCGCACGCACAACCGTCGCCGCGTGACCGGATCCCGCGGAAGGAGGAGGGAAGGAGGAGAGAGTGAGCCGCAGAGGCCCAACATGTCCCGGCGTGCGTTTAATTCCGCGGTGCTGCCGCTCATTGTTGTGATGATGTGCTGCAGTACTTGTGGAGCTGCGCCAGCTCAGGTGGCGCCGTCGTCTGGTCCAAAGTTTGAATGGAAGGACATAAAGAGTGAAGGTGAAGGTGTAACTGTGGACTCGTTGGGCATTCCCGGCCTATTGAAAGTGGGGAGTACGTATTTGTCGTTGCCGAGGCTCAGTGCAAGAATGGTGGAAACACCGTCTTTACTGGCATTGCATCCCAACTACTCTCGATGGATAAGGGTAAAGAACCGAAAGAGGGAGTGCTGAAGAATGCCAAGGAGAAAACACAAGTTCTGGAAGAAGTCACTTCCTCAGACGCGGAGAAGAAAGTAGATGTGAGCCGACCAACAACAGTTGTGAATGGAAGTGATATTTACATGCTTGCTGGAAACTATAGTTGGGCATATGCCGACAATGATCGGGCAGTTGACTGGGGACTCATGCTGGTGAAAGGGCACGTCAGTGAAGAGAATCAAAAAGGTAAAAGAATTTATTGGAACGATACTTACGCCATTCCGTGGACTTACAAAGGCAACCAACACAGTATTCTGAAGCGGCTGATTGGCGGCGGTGGATCGGGTGTTAAGATGAAGGACGGTACGCTTGTGTTCCCGGTGGAAGGGAAAAAGGAGGTCGACACACAAGAGGATGGAAAGACCGTTTCGCTGGTCCTATACTTGCAGGGTACTGAGAGTTGGACACTGTCGAAGGAGGTGCCTGCCGATGGCTGCAGTGATCCCTCCGTCGTGGAGTGGAAGGGAAAACTCATGATGATGACTGCGTGTGATGATGGCCGCCGCAGGGTGTACGAGATCGGTGACAGGGGGAATTCGCGGACGGAGGCACTCGGGACACTCTCGCGCGTGTGGGCCAGCAAACAAAAGGGTAAAGACGTGAAACTCGTTGGAAGCGGGTTCACTACAGCGAATATTGGTGGTGGAGATGATAATAACAGGGACGTGATGCTCGTTACTCTGCCGGTGTATTCAAAGGAAAAGGATAACGAAAACGAAAAGGGCGTACTCCATCTTTGGCTGACGGACAATACACACATTGTTGATATTGGGCCGGTATCCGAGGAAGATGATGACGTTGCCGCCAGCTCCCTGTTGTACAAAAGTGTTGAAAGTGGAAATCAAGATAAGAAGGAGGAGTTGATTGCACTGTACGAGAAGAAGAAGGGCGGTGTGGAACCGTCACTCGGTATGGTCTCTGTTCGTCTGACTGAGCAGTTGAAGCGGGTGAGGGAGGTGCTGAGGACGTGGAAGGAAGTGGACGGAATTGTCTCCAAGCTGTGCTCCACTTTACTTGCACAGGTTACCTCAACTGACAATGCCTGCAGTGCTGATAAAATCACCGAAGGGCTGGTTGGCTTTTTCTCCGGCAACTTCTCTGATGGCACATGGAAGGACGAGTACCTCGGCGTGAACGCCACAGTAAAGAGCGGTATTGGTGCGGAGGAAAAGGATAATGGCGTGACATTTAAAGGACGTGGTGCGTGGGCGGAGTGGCCTGTTGGCAAGCAAGAGGAGAATCAGCTGTACCACTTTGCGAACTACAACTTCACTCTTGTGGCGACGGTGTCCATCCACGGTTTGCCAAAGGAGGGTTCTATTCCATTGATTGGTGCGAAGGTGAATGATGGCGATAAGAATACAGTTCTCCTGGGACTGTCGTACAACAACAAAGAGGGGAAGTGGCGGGTGCTGTGCGGTGACGGAACGACGTCGGAGCACAGCAGGACTTGGGAGCCGGGGACAACGTACCATGTGGCCATTGTGCTACAGAACGGCAACCAGGGCTCCGATTGCGTCGATGGTCAGCGTGTGTGTGAGAGTGTGCAAATTAACTGGAAAAATACAGAATCGAAAGGGATCTCACACTTCTTCATTGGAGGGGACGGAGGCAATGCAGAGAACACAGGGGGTAACGAAGGTGTATCTGTGACTGTGAGGAACGTCCTGCTGTACAACCGTCCGTTGAGCTCCGAAGAGATTGCAGGGCTTGCCAAAAATAATATTCCAACGTCAGTGGCTGCGCGTACTTCTTCACCTGCTGTGTCTCGCCCGAAGCGCTCTTCTGAATCCTTGGCGGGAGGAGCAACGGGTTTCGGTACCGCTCGTCACTTTGGGGCAAATGGTGATGGCAGCACTGTTTGCGGAAGCGGACTGCTGCCGCTGATCCTTCTGTTGGGACTGTGGGGGTTTGCGGCTCTGTGAGGAGTGTGTGGTCTCGGCGTGGAACACCTCGGCACCGAATTACTTCCCCATGGGAACAAATTTCACTCATAAATCTTTTTTTTTTGCGTATTTTAAATTTATTTTAATGTTTGCTTCTTTTTTCTTTTTTTTTACTTTTTTTTTGCGTGTTTTTTTCTAATCTCCCATTCCTCCTTTGCTTTCGGGGCAATCACTATGGATGTTTTTTTCTTTTCTACTCTTCCCTCTTTTAATTGTTTCTTCTGCACTCCTCCTGTGAGGGGTGCCGTGTGTTTCCCGCCCAACTGCTCCACTCGCACACCACCGACACGCTCATGACGACGGCCCTGTGCGCCTCGCCTGCTGCACGCATGAGGAGGGCCGCGACGAACGGCGCGCTGAGGGAGCCGTGACGTGTGGGCGTGCGACGAGGGCCTGTGGGGCGGCGCACACATTTCTTTCCCTCTTGTTTTGTTTTTGCGGCCAGGGCGGGCAGACACCCGCAGCGCCACACACACAGCCACACCTGCCGCCGTGTTTTTAAGATTTCTTTTTTTTGCTGCGCTCACTCTCCCGATGGAGTGACGCGACTGCCGTCGTGTCTGCGTGCTTCTCTCAGTCCCCCCACACACGAGTGACTGTGCTCTGCGGGCCGCACTCGCGCGCCGATGGGAGGGCTGAGGGGAGCAGCAACACGCAGATGACCCCATGAAATACAAACGATGTGCGGACACGCAGAGGGTCGGACGGTTGAAAGACATTTAAATATCTTTTAATTTTCTTTGCGGGCAAAATATATGCAGACAGTTTGGTGTGGCCGCACGGCAGCCGGCTGCTTTTTAAATTTGTGTGGAACAGTAATGGACGATTTCTTTTTATTTATAATTATTTTGTGTGATGGGGTTTGTATAAGATGAAAGGGAAAGTTTTTTTTGTTTTGGATAAATCTTGTGTGAATTGCCGCTGCTTGGGCTGCGGTGCAATCGTGAGTTTGAGCGGTCTTCTTCTTGTTGCTTCCGCCATGCACCTCCGCTGTACATTTTGTGCGTCCCTCCACATACTCTGCTTCCTTTTTTCTGCTTCTTTGCTTTGTGTTTCTGCAGGCACACACACAGGATGCACATTGCGGTGGATTTGAATGCTTCTTTTGCAGTGCATGCTGGCAGTTGCGTGTGGCGGCTGTTGTCTTCTTCCGTGGCCATGAGGAGAAGGGAGAAGGGAGAGGGAGTGCGCAGCCCGCGTCTCCGTTCCTGCGGGTGTGGAGCACCGCGTGTGGGCAACGGAGGGAAACAAGGGGAAGAAACACGTCACTCCTGACAGTGCGCGGCAGGCAACCGTTGGGGAAAAACACAGGAATGCTGATTATTCCAATAGGGCAAAGGCAGCAAAAATAAGTAAATGAAAGAAAATAAAAAAGCTTAAATTATTGACAAAACTCAGTGGGTAATGCTGGCAAGCTGCACAGTTATTGCTCCACGAAAAGCCGCAGTTCCACCCTCCCTCACACCTCAGCAGAGCGCTGCAGTGCCTCAGAGCCCCAGAAGCAGAAGCAACATCACCCGAGACACACACCCATGCACGGTGCTGTCACCAATTTCGGCCATGGCCAACAAATCCTTGAAATGCCCGTGCTCACAAGAACCGTTGCTCACAAGTGATGCTGCGTTGTGCTCCGATGGGATCTCTGGTTTCCCAGACGCTGTGCGCAAATAATCCTGTGCGGCGTCACCACCACCCGACACGTTATCACTCGTTCAACATTTGCTAGGGCTGTTCTGGGCCCAGGCGTGGCTGTTGCACCATCCAAGGGCATTAGATCGCTGTTGCTGAGTGAATCGGGATCGCTGCCCGTGCCCACGGCGGTGCGGGCATACGTGCCCTATTCATGGTCAACGTGTTGTTAGTCGCTGGCAAGCGTTTTGGCGGTGGACGGCTTGTCGTCTCTCGCTGAGCGTGCGTCTGGGTTTGTTGCGCTGCCACTTGATTCCCCGGACAGCCGCGCTCCCTGTGGGGCCTCACCGCGCAGCTGCCGGCAGCCTTGCTTGCTCCTGCCGAGCGGAGTGTCCTGCCACTGAGCATGGCCACAGACAATTCCCAGTTCCCCGCCTGGCAGCAGCGTCCCGATCGCCCACACGAATTCCTGCCGCCACAGACTCCCTCTCGGCGATGGAGTCACTCCGTCTTGGCTCGCTGGCGGCGCACGACGACGTCACCGAGGATATTTGTACCGTGCCGCATTCACTGGTGGATCGAGTTCGCACTGTTGGCTTCACATTTTCCCCATGACGCTGCGGAATCCACGCAACGTGACGGCGGACGCTGATGCCGTCATGGCACGATCCCTCCCGCAGGACTGCGTCAATGCCTGGCACGTGGGCCTCCTCACTGCAGTCAGGCGGCCGTACTGAAATAAATTCCAGGGGGAAAAGAAGGGCACACACCGCGTGACGGGCGCTTGACGGTGTGGCGGAAGTCTATTCCTGGTGTTGACCCGAAAATCGTGCCCCGAGTGGCGGCACTGCGCACAGGCGCGATGCGACTCCTGCCCGCTCTTCGACAGGCCCGCGCGCCCTGCGGATCACAAGGAACTCCCTGTGTCGGTGGTGCCGTCCCTTTCTTTACCGAGGAGACCGGCCCGCCTCTGCTTCCGCCGGAACCTCTTCCAGACGAGAACTCCGCAACTCCTTGTCGACCAGCGAGCGGCGGATTGACATTCTCCTGCCCAATCGGCTGCAGGGTGCGCCCGTTTGTCCGCAGCGTGAGGGCACATGCCCGACGTGTTCGGCCTGGCGTTCCGATAGTTTGACAGGCCTCACATGCGGATGCCGCAATGGTTTCATCGTTTTCTTAGCAGGTGCCTCACGCGCAGGTCGCCACAGAAAGTGCCAAGCACGCCAGTAGGCAAGGCACGCAGGAAGCACAAACGCGGACACTCGAGATGGACCAGGCTCTTCCGCCACCGCTTGATCACAGACGCCACGCGCTGCTGATTCCCGACGGACCACGGGAGACTCCGCTTCATCCACTTTGGAAATGTCCTGTCATTGAGAACATGGACTGCGACTGTTTGGGACTGCTCCAGCCTGCACGACGGCCTGTTTGCGACGGCATACTTGCCACTTTTGTACGGGGAACCCTTGCGCTATTTACTCATTCCGGCGCGAGAAAAACAATATAAAAAGTTGTTTTGTGATGAATATTGGCTGCACTTCCCGTGGGCCAACAATCCACGTGGTGTGCGGGGATCATTTCATTTTTTTAATTGTTACTTTGCTTTTGTGTTGCTGTGTGCGCTGCACCTCCTCTTGTGTGTGTGTGTACCCTCCGTGAGGGGTGCCGACACGACGGACCGCTCTCGCCGTGTGTGCATGCGGTGGAGCCTTGTGTGCCGCTCCTGTTTGCTTCTCCCTCCTCCATCTGTGTGTTGGTGTTGCGGCAGGGCTGTGTGTGTGTGTGCCTGCTGCCGTGGATTGGAGTGTGTGTCGTGCGTGGTGTGCGGCGTACGGTGCATGCCTGGCTGCTGCCCTCTCCTCTTGTGGTGTGCCCTCTGTGTGTGTCTGCCGCACCTCTCGTCTCCCCTTTTGCTCTCCATGTCCCTCACTGTGCAGATCAGCTCCACACCACTGAACGACCACACTCACGATGATGACGTGCCGTCTGCTGTGCGCCCTGTTGGTGCTGTCCCTGTGCTGCTGCCCATCCGTGTGCACCTCAGAGTCTCCGGGGGAGGATGATGATTCCAGGAAGACGACGAACGGGACAACACAGGCACCAACCACTAACAGGGCGGGTGGGGCTGATGAAAGCGTCAACAGTCATTCTACTTCTTCAGAATCAGGACTACAAGAGAAGGATCAGTCAGAAAGTAATTCCAATGAGGTACAGGAACAAGAAGATGGGCACTCCAATAAAGAAGAGGCAGATATTGATAAGCCCAATAGCGTTACGTTAAATGAACAAAATGTGAAACCAAATGCACCAACCACGACTACCACCACAAAGACACCAAGTACCACCACAACACAGGCAACCACGACGACAACCACAACGACCACAACGACGACGACCACTGCGCCAGAGGCACCAAGTACTACGACTACAGAGGTGCCAACCACGACGACCACCCGCGCACCGTCACCTCTTCGTGAAATCGACGGCAGCCTCAGCAGCTCTGCATGGGTGTGTGCCCCGCTGCTGCTTGCCGCATCCGCGCTGGCGTACACCACTCTGGGCTGAAGAGGTGTGTGCGGGCTGTGCGTGCCAGCACTCAACCGCGGGGATTTTTGCGCGTCCACTGTGGTCCGATGTAAATAAATAAGAGAAAATAATGATTGTGTGTTTTGCTTCATTTGCTTCCGCTGCCCTGCTGTGTGCTCCGTGTTGCTGCTCCCTGTATCCGTCAATTGGCACGCATCGCAGACACTCATATGCACGACGCGCCCACAATTGTTTGCGTGGACGCATCTCTGTGTGCTGGTGCATGTACACTGAAGCCATTTGGTGCAGCTTGTTTTTTGTTGTGTTTTTAATTTATTGCTGTTTGTTTACTACTGTTTCGTTTTTAATTGTTTCTTGTGTGTTTTTCTTGCTGGCCAATTATTGCGGGGCTTTTTTTTTTTCTGCCCTCGCACTGATTCCAACTGCCCCATGATGTCTGCAGTGCTGCCGGGCTGCTATCATTTGTCACTGCGCGGTGACTGTGCGGTGCTGCGTGACTTGTCTCTCTTTTTTGCCTTCACTCTGCGTTGACGGGGAGTTAGTTTGTGCTGAAGGCTACACGCAAGTGACAGGAGTGATGGCGATGATGACTGGCCGTGTGCTGCTGGTGTGTGCCCTCTGCGTGCTGTGGTGCGGCCTTTCGGGAATTGCGGCCGATGGAGCTGTTGACGTTACCAGAGAAAGCGATGAGAGTTTGGAGGGCCCACTGCGTGGATCTCGAGAAAATGAGGATGGACCACAGAAGCCACTAGGTTCAGTAATGCAGAGGTCCAACACCGCAAATCAGGCGTTGAATCCAGAAAATGGAGTCATGGTGGGCCAGCCAGAGGACCCTGCCAAAAAACAATTGAAAGATGAAGTCGAGCCGCAAAAAGAAAGTGAAGAAACGGATGAAGAAGGTTATGGCGTTGTTGTTGTTGATGATGATGATCTTGAGGAAGAAGAACGAGAAGAGGAAACAGTAGAGACAGCAGAGACAGAAATACCCAATGATCCAACAAAAGAGGAAGCATCATAACCACCACAATCAAAGCACGAAAAAAGGCCAGCAGCAGCACCAGCAAAAGGAATCCCAACAACACAATCACCAGCAACGGCAGTACTACCAACGACGCAAGGACAGCCGCCAACGGCAGCGCCATCACCAGAAGAGTCACCAGTCCCAGCAGCGTCGGCAGCAACAGTAACACCGGCAGCAACATCATCAGAACAAGGAAACACACCAGCAGCGGCGCGGAAAAAGGATGAAAAACAATCGGAAGACATTGACCCGGCACAAGAAAGCGAACAGCCCGATCCTCAAGATGTCGTGTTGGTGCAACATTCACAAGGTGTCCACGAGAGCAAGGAGTCAAACAACAATCCACGAAACCCAGCCAGCGCCTCCGCCGCTGCCAACCAGCGGGATGCAACATTTAACGGTCATGGTGAACCAGCACAAACAACATCTTCAACTAAAAGCGTTTTTGAGATTAACGACGCTAACAGTGGCACTGAAGAAGGGATATCAAGCGATGATCCAACTGCTGATGGTGCAGGGACAAACGACACAAAAAACAGTCAAAATAAGCATGGCAATACGAAGGAAACCCCAGTCGAAGCCACGGCCATGAAGGGTGCCGCGGCGACGACTGACGACAGCGACAGCAGCACCGCGGTCTCGCACACCACCTCCCCTCTTTTGCTTTTTGTTGCGGCTGCTGCTGCGGTGGTGGCCGCGTGAGAGTGAGTGTGAGAGAGCCGTGCACCGCCCGCACACACACTCGTCCTTCTCTCTCTGTGTGTGTCCCCTTGCATGGACTCTCGCCCTCACCTCACCCCACGAAGCACACAATAATGTGCCCATTGTATGTATGCATGCACACCCATGCAGGCCCGTTGGTGCTCTCTTTTGCACGACACGCACCGCTGCCGTCCTGCCTGGCTGCATGGGCGGAGCACCGTAACTGTTTCTGTTTTGTTTTTATTGCATTGAGTGGTCGACCTCTCTCTCTCTCTCCCTGTGTGTGTGTTTTGCTTTACGGGAGCAATGAGAGTGTGTGCGCTGGTCGTCCCACGCTTCGGCTTTTTTATTGTTTTTTTGTAAATTTAATTTTTTTATCCGTTCGCTTTAAAATTCTTGCTGTTCTTTTTTTGTTATTAATTTGTGCATTTTAAATCTTTTACTCCCCACCCCTTCTTTTTTTGCTTTCGGGGCAATCACTGTGGACGTTTTTTTCTTTTCTACTCTTCCCTCTTTTAATTGTTTCTTCCGCACTCTTCCTGTGAGGGGTGCCGTGTGTTTCCGCCCAACTGCTCCACTCGCACACCCACCGACACGCTCATGACGACGGCCCTGTGCGCCTCGCCTGCTGCACGCATGAGGAGGGGCCGCGACGAACGGCGCGCTGAGGGAGCCGTGACGTGTGGGCGTGCGACGAGGGCCTGTGGGGCGGAGCACACATTTCTTTCCCTCCTCTTGTTTTGCTTTTCTTTGCGGCCAGGGCGGGCAGACGCCCGCAGCGCCACACACACACAGCCAAACCCTGCCGCCGTGTTTTTAAGATTTTTTGTTTTTGCTTTTTTTCTTTGCTTTTTGTGGATGGTGTGTGCTGCCACCGTGCTTGGTTGTTAAGGTTGGGGACGTACCGCATGTATCGCTGCTATCCAGCTGTGCCTCTTGCTGTGCTGATGTGCCTCCCTGTGCTCCTTCTTTTTTTTGCTTCTCCAACAGATACCCACTCGCATATTAGTATTTGCACAGTGCTCTGTAAGAACGTTTTTGGTAACGAGGGACGTTGGCTGATGCTCCGTGCTGAAATGATGACGCTGCACGATGGCCTTCTCCGGCGATGACAGTCGCTGTGTTCTCGGCACACATCCACACACTCCTCCTTGTCTCTCTGTGAGAATGATTGCAGCAGTAGCGTGGTCTACGGCTGCGGCTGTTGGTGCTGCGGAGAACGAGGCGCCGAGGAACAAGAGGGCGAACCTGCTGGACGAGATTACGATGGCGGATGAATGCATTTTGACGGTCTTTTATCGACTTCTTCAGAAGTGTGGCGTACAGCTGCCTGACGGGATGCCTGCACTCGGCATCCTTCGAGGCGTTGCGTTCTTTCATTCAGTGTGATGTCACAATCATCATGGCAGCACCTTCCCTCAACGGCTCTGAGTGTGACAATACGAATGACGGCAAAGAGAGCGATGAGGATTATGGTGACGGCTTGCATCGAGGGGCGGATTATTTGCGTGTCTTGGCACACGATTCCCAGGAGGGTTTGAATGCCGTCCCCACAATTCCCGGCCTTGCGGAACCGTTGGCTTTCGCGCTGTAACCCGCCGTAATTAGTGTCCCATGCGTTGAGGCTGATCCATTTGCCGTGGAGTTCACGCAGCAGCTCTCGAGTGGTTGTGCTGCTGGTCCCGCGTTGGCCCTTTCGCATTTATCTCGGCGTTGCCTGGCGGTTGATTTGATGTGTGTTGTCTGGGCCGCCGCCTCCAGTTTTCTTTTGGTGCCCAATAAGAAACACTTTGCGTTGCGGCGGATATTTACTTGCGTGGCCGTCGACGCACGTGACGATGCCCAACGGGTGTGTCTTTTGTTTGGTAGACACGAGGGAGACTTCGGTGTGTGCCGACGCCTCCGCGAAACTCTTCGTTGACGGATCGAGGCGAAAATAAGGGAGGTCTGTCCGCTGCATCTCTTAAGGCAGCTGCGGGGCACTCCGGACGCACAGAGTGAATGGATGGATGCCGCGCAGCTGGGGAGACCAGTTGTCTTCTCCGCCCTCCGTTGCCCGGGGGAATCGATAATCCACAGCGTCATTGCCAGCTGCATTTTACTGCTGGGGATCGACTGTTCTGAAGTTGCCCGTCTAATGTGAATCGCAGCGTCAGTGCAGGAAGACGCTTTCACGCATTGCGAGTAGTTGCCCCAGGCTCGAGCTCATCAATATTAACAGCGGGAAGCAATGCATCTTGGTGGCCGGTGACGTTCAGGCGAGTGTGTTTCACTTCACCCGCCTCGTATTTGTGGGGGACACTGCGCATCGACCCTCCCCAACAGTCCCACCACCTTCACTTTCCCCCGCCGCTCGCTGCCCTCTGCTGACGGTACAGTTGTTTGGCTCCGCCAATAATGCGCTTGTGAAACGTCCTCCCCGCACGCTGCAGAATTATTGTTTTTGTTTTTGGCGGTGCAATAACTCCAGCGACACCGCAACTATGTGCAGCACAAACTAATCTCCGCAGTGGATCCTATTTTTCTGCACTGTCGCCGTTGTGGTCCTGTCATTGTGTACTTGGTGCAATTTTGTGGGGTTGGGCCAGTGCAGCCGTTGGATGTCGGGCTCGCTTTTGTTTTGGTTGCTTTGTGTCTCGGGGAGAACAAGTTTATGTTGTTTCACGATCAGGATAGTGGAGACACTGCCATGAGCAACTTTGCGGAGTTTTATGGACTGGTGGAGGAAGATGGCGGAGGCGAGGGAAGAACTGGTGACAGCAGTCGGCGTGTCTCTTCTCCCAGGGAGATGGAGACGCGTGGAGCAGAAACAACATCACTACTGCCAACGACAATTCGACGCTTTGTGCGGGTGATGGAGGGCACGACAGACACGCCTGTTGCCTGCATTCTTCGTGTGACCGACGGATCGCGGCTGGTGGATGGCCGCCTTTCAACAATCATGCCATAAGAACGGTGTACGCCAGGTGTATTCGAGACGACAGGCCTCGGGCCGATTGAAGACGTTGAGGGATGCGCTGCAGTGGCGTTTTTGCTTTCTCGAAGCGTTTTTATGTCAGTCCTTCTTGCCAGTTTGTTTTTGCCGTGGAGACGTTGATGGCATGTGGTGCGGGTGTGGCGTCGACAGAGTCATCCACGCTTTGTCTTAGAAACATGACTTTGAGTCGTGTCAGTCACGCCGTGTTTCCCTTTTTTTCGCTGGGAGTCTTGTGGGTGTGCTTGAGCCCTTTTTCTCCAATTTGTTTGCCGAAACGATCAAATGCTTCGCAGCTGCACATCGCCGGTTTTCCATGGC